TCTCTAAACAACTAATGAAGAAACAGCAGACCACTTCAACCATATAATAAACAAAGTGCACCCTAATTTGAAATTTGAAATTGAAAAACTAGAAACAGCACCGAGTGGCCTTTCATTGTCATTACTCGATTTCAAAGTCACCATATCCAAGGATGGCAACAGCTCTTTTGAATTCTACGAAAAGCCAGCCAAGAAACCACTATTTGTCCACCATCAATCAGCTATTCCCACCAAATCCAAACTCAACTTCCTTCGCAACGAACGAAAACGCATCAAGGACAGATGCTCTACACAAATATCTGCAACACAACACCTAAACACATTCGATGACATCCTTCGCCTTAACGGTTATCCAGAGAACAGTATAGAGCAAACAACACGCCCACAAAACCCCCAACGAAACCCTCAACCTGCCAACACAGAATGGTTATACCTTAAGATCCTCTACATTTCTGAACGACTCAATCACAGAATCACCACCATTTTTAAAACATAGGCACGTTTAACGTGCATGAGCTATTTTGACTGCTTCAGTCTAACCGTATCAACAATCTACTGTTTTAGTCCAACATTAAGACTATTTGTTGCGCGAAATTGGGTATTGATGTTCATTAATGACAACGAGAACCGCTGCGCACAGTTGAGTCGCTCCTGATACTATAGATTCAATTTTCTTTGTCTTTCTATCAGACATTTGTTGCAAAATAAATAAATTGTTCCAGCACTTTGAATATCAACTCACCAAACGTTGCTTTAGTTAGAGGGAAGACTCGAAGGTTTCAAGGTTTCTTCCCTCTATTGCTAATATTTAATAATCTAAACACTAAAAGAATAACCACCTTTTTCGTTTGGCACAATGAGAGGTTTATTCAGTGAAATAACAGAAAAAGGTATCAAAAGACGACAATATATCCACCGACGAACCTCTCGACCTCGATGGAACTGGATGGGAAGGGAAGGTAAAGGATTCGACTGTGCAAGCAACAGTTGCTATAATCACGACCTGCTAATAACCTGACAAATTCTGACGTGACGCTACTATATATACTGGCGTACATATCAATCAACAACTAACCTAATACGACCACACCTAAATCAAGTGCGCGTCGAATTAAATATTTTAAGCGAAGCTCAGCATCCTCAGAAAACTTTAGACACAGAGAGCCTGTTTACAGGCTAAGAAAACTTAAGATAAACGTTGTAGGCGTCAGACGCCCAATCACCATAAATCTGAAAAAGGTTCGCCTGAAACACCCGAACGGAAAGCCCACGTAGCCCCCCCTCTACAGAAGGAATGGCCCCTAAACTTAGAAAAGTCAGAAACCCCAAGACGTTTAAGACGCGATCGAAAAACCGAAACGAACTGCGACTTACTTAGAAGTAACAATAGAATAAGGGCCGGAACTGCCCGAGGGCGTAAAAAAGGCTGCGGCTGAACCGGGAGCTGGTAAAAAGGAACACATCGTCAAGGAAGCCCGAACCGGGCACAAAAGGTGGTAAGAAAAACCAAGTAGGGGAAGGGTGAGTACTTTGGTGCCCTTCTGATTAGTTTTAGACCATTTGAAAGAAACAGATAACCCCAAACGAGTGATTTTGATATCCCTGCGGCACAAATGTTTATCGGGATGAAAGGACCGAGCCGAAACTGGCACGAGATTAGAAGTGCGCGCAAAAAGAAAACAGGCGAAGCGGATTGCGCAATTAAAAACAAAGTCAAACTGGGAACCCCGACACTGCACTAACGCGCGAAGTAAAGCGGGTGTCACTAGCGGGGCACGTGAAGGGAGATGCTTATGCATGCGGTCAAGGCCGAGCAAAGTTAAACGAAGTTCAAACGTGTCGTAAAAAGAAAAATCGAGACCGGTAACAACGTGAAGCAGCTTAACACCGCTAAGATAATTCCGTACCGACTGAGCAGTCATGTAACGGCTTTAACTGACAATATAAACACACAGTGTCCAAAGAGGCAGGCAGATACGGCAGATCAAAATAAAGATAAAATGACAAATAGGCCTTCCACTGAGTTCTATGATTCTTGCGTGTTCCAGCGGCGTAAGCGACCCGAGTCTCTTTGAGATCGCTACGTAACTGCGCAAACGAAGAATCTACGGACAGGAAAGCAAAGAAACAAATTTCAGCTGGAATCGCACAACTGAAAAAATTCCACGGGGACTGAAACAAACTCCAAGCCAAGTTTGCCGAAACGCGAAGGAAACTCATCCGGAAATGCAGGCTACAAATGCCATCGACTAAGTAAATCGACACGATTGTCAGAACCAGTAATATGACAAGCGCGGAGCTCAAACTCGTTCGTTGCGGCGTGAAACTAAATTTCCCTTTAAACACTCAGCAAGCAACTTATCCTGTACCCGTCCCGAATTGAGAGAGCTGACTACGGCAGTATTGTCACAATAAACGAAAATGCGAAGAGCACGCCAGTGACGACCCCACAACCGAAGAGCAACAACGATAGCTAAGGCCTCCAACAAGTGAATAGCCGGGAACCGTGCTAGAACGCACTAGTAGGAAATTCGACATGAAAAAATCCACTAGCCGACATAACCCCGGTTAATCAGGCATCGGTTAAAACAACACTATCCGGGGCAGACCATAACTGCGCGAGAATGAACGAAACACCATTATATACACGAAGAAAACGAAGCCACCAGCGAAGGTGTTTCTTAAAGTCTGCTGTTAACTTGATGCGGTGATGAGGACGCCGTAAGGAACGAAGGGTATGCAAAAGACGGGACAAAAACAAACGACCGGGACGAACACATTTACAAACGAAGGCAAGTTCACCTATAAGCGACTATAACTCGGTCTTGGTGGCGGATTTTTTAACAAGCCACTTAGGCAACACGTCATCCTGCAATTCTCGTAAACAAGCGGGGATCACGGACATAGTAAAAGTTACTGTTTCGAAAAGAAAGACGAGACAAATCATTTGGGTAGACGGCGGACAAACTTTCTGCGAAGATTCCTGTAACCCTAAAGCCTGACAAAGTGAGCCGCTAAGCTCGAAGTGGCGGCCGGCATTATGCGGAGTAGAAACACCCATAAAATCGTCTAAATAACTCAACGCTGAACAACCCGCCTGAGAAAGCAAGAAACAAACAGAATTCGTGACCCGCTGACAGGCCATAGCTGCCGAGCGAAGACCCATAGGTAATCGAACGTCAAAAAACAACTGATCGCGCCACGAACAACCCAGTAAAGGGTAATCATACGGATCGACCGGCAACTGTATATATGCCCGTTTGAGATTCCGTTTGAACAACAAGCAGCCAGGCCCGAACTGGACTATACGTTCCGCTACACTCTATTTTTTTTATAAGAATATTGTTTTTCCGGTCCAGGCTGAATATTCTTATTCTTCTGCCGATTTTAGGCTGAAAATATTCTTGTATTATTCTTAAATTATAGCTTATGACATTTACGTTTTAGAATTTATTGGGGTATATGTATATGTATTGCATGTACCGTTCATCGAACTGTCATTAGCGTTGAACTTTTTCCTATAGCTAGTGCAGGTTTTTTTCGGTTTGTTGGCTAGTTTCGCCGTTCAGAGAAAGGAATAATTTTATACGGTTAAGTTAAAAACATAAAATTGTATTGTATTTACAGACGTTTCAACACACAAAATTATATCTATCCTTTTCAAAATCTCAGCCTCGGCTTTATTCTTAAAATATTCTTAAAATTTCGCAAATTTCAGCCTCGATATTCTTATAAAATATATTCTTATCAAAAAAAAGAGTGTATATCATCGACAATAGGATAAGTGAGGGTCACTGGTCGGTGGTTCGCCTAGATAAAAATCTTTACAGATGCCATCATTGACTGACGCGCCTTTGGGACAACTAAGGTCAAGAATAAAACGACGTTCATCAGAGCCCTGTTTCAGCAAGGAATTCAAATGGACTAGAGAATGGATTGCACGCAAACGGCCCAAAAAGAGAACCTAATCCTAGTTCCGTTGACAAGTAACTGTCAACGGCCGATGGAAAATCGAGAGCACCTTTGTGATTACGAAATACGTTCGAAGGCAATGCTCCACTATAATCATAGCCTGCGTAGCATGGCGGTTTTGTTGAGCCGGGCGCAGGAGCGGCGTAGCCGCGAAATTCGCGCGCGAAGCGCGCGAGAACGAGCGGCGAAGCCGCGAGAAAAATAAAAACCGCCTGCCCGGATTCGTGGCCTTTTCAACTGCCGCCCCCTTCAACTCATTTTGACATCCTGTTGACAACTTGTTTGGTTTCAGTTTTCCCAGCCAATCAGAAATAAAGTGTTGACAGCCTAAACACGACACAAAAGCTCGTGATATAGTGTAAAACGTGACCTTGGCCGGAATTGGAGTTTGCTTGAACAAACACGGGTTTTTTCTTTGTGGCTATCTCACGCATAGGTGACTACACTGCGTTCTAAACTTGACTGAGTAGATCTTATTTTCGCTGCACTAAGTCTTACATTTATTTAGAGGTCATGGAGTTGGTTTGTTTAATCCGTATTGAGTAATTATTTCCTGTGGTTAATGTTATTTTCGCTAATTAGAATTTGTTGATCTCAGATGCAGTTGTAAAGTACTAATTTCTTTGACCACTCTTAAAGCCTAAAGCTTTTTATTACGGCTAAATAAATATTTTAGTTTCTTTGGTCTTTTCCGACTAAAATGCCTGGATCTGGACAACTACAAACCAAGGAGCCTTGGTTTGTAGTTTCTTTGTCACTGCTTTGTCCGTGAATGTTTTGACGCTGGGCCCGGCTTTTTAACTGTTGTTTGCAGGATGTTGTATTTTTACGTAGAGCGCGATCTTCAGATTTGAGTTGTAGCTTAAGCTACACCAAGCAAAAAAGTATGGAGAATTACGCTGTGCGTCTTCTACCATATGCGATTCATCGACCACAATCGCGGACGCCGTTCGATGTATTGCGCTGGAGTGCGTTATTCTCTAACACCGAGTAATAGAGAAAATTGAGGTGAACTTTCTCGAAGCACTGAAATTTACTGTTTCTGTCATAAGGTCCATTGCTTTACATCTCAGCGACACCATTTCAGATATCTGGTCCTCGATAGTACTTTTTAGAGGGGAAATTGTGATCATACAGGTTTCCGATGAGGATATTTCTTCTTTGGCCATAGCAAAGACAGTAAAGATCATGCTCTTGCCAAATCTTGTTGACAAAATTTCCATGACATCTCTCCTTTGAAGAAGACTGTAAATGGCCATTTCCTGTTTAGACTTCAATACAATTGCCCTATTTTCCCGTCAAATATTCAAGATCGACGACGCTCCGGTCAACGCTTCTTTGATATTTTGATTTTGTTTTGCGGAGATGATTTGTTCAGTCCCTCGAAACTCTCCCATGGGAGATTACCAAAATATTTGATTGACAGGCGAACATTCCGAACCAATCGGAACGATCCGTACGCTGGCGTGCGGACCGACTCAAAAAAGCCCCCCGTCCGTGCAGGCGGTTTTTCAAGTTGCTTCCGCCCCAATCTCCTCGCGGTTTCTCTGCCCTCGCCCGCCTTTATTACTTAGCGCTCCCAACCAAAACCGCCATGCTACGCAGGCTACTATAATCACAACCAATGGGCCACCCGAATTCTAAAAAGTCACAGACACTGACATCTGTATATTCCGAGAACAAAGAAGGGAAGATTTAATAAGCAAAGTCGGAACCGCTAAACGCGCGCTACGAAAATTGGGAGGCCTTGCCGCGTGCACCCGATGATGAAGGGAAACAAAAAGCTGCGGATCGGATGCGAAGTCAGAAGGGGAACAACTGGGAACGGGAAAACTACTCGGAACCCTAAAAAACAAAAACTATTTGAAAAGTTGAACTACTTGCAAAATAAGACATCATGTCTTTATCACAGTAGTTCAAGTTATTCGAACACATTCCTAGTCTCGGCATTTACAACTTCTCAAAAATATTTGAAAGGTCGGGCGCTGAAAAAGATGAAGCAGTATCTACTAAATGAGCTAATTCGGACGTGCCCGAACCGGTAACCGTAAGATCAGAACTCCTATTAAGATAAGGGTCCACACTAACTGAAGCTGCACGCAAGAACTAAAACGTTTAGAGTCGCGCGAAAATTCATCGAAAACTGAGTCAAGTCTAGCATCTGGCAGCACGCAAGAACTAGAAAATCGAGAGTCAAGCAAAAATTCATCCAAAACTAGGTTAAGTTTAGAGTCTTGCTGCACGCAAGAACTAGAAAGTCTAGATTCACACAAAAGGTCATCCGAAACTGAGTGAAGTCTAGAGTCTGATTGCACGCGGGAACAAGAAAGTCTAGAGTCACGCGAAAATTCATACAAACCGGGGTTAAGTCTAGAGTGCTGATGAAATTACGAAAGCGCTTGGGTAGCGTCGGCCAACACTGAGTTAAAAAGTCGGGCGTCAGGAGAGCTTTCATTCAATAAGGAAGCTTGTCGATAGTCAAGCAAAATAAGGCTAGAGTCTTGCGACAAAGAGGAGGACGACGATCCAAGTCCACGAGAGAGTCAAACTGGACTGTCTGCGGTATATGTAGTCTTCCGTTTACTGTTATCGATGAACAGGGGACACGCCTTTGCGAACTCCGAATGACGCGCGAGGACCCGCGAGTCAACCCAGCACCGGGCACAACTGTGCTGAAACCATTTACGTTTACCACGAAGAGTGCCAAAGTGATCCTTCTGACGTTTACATGTGCCATGCTGAAAATCACGACAGAAGAATACGGACGCAGGATTGTCCGCGCGTGGAGCGCCACTTCCCGAACGCGAAGATCTTAACAGTGATTGCAAAATGCAAGATTCCAAATAAGTAAAGGAATCACCCCACTTTGCTCTATCACATTCTATCTCAAAAAGTACAGCGGAATGCAAATCGCGCACTGACGACCAAGTATACTGGGTAGCCAAGTACATCAAAACTGCAAAATTGTCGATGCGTGCGCGAAGTTCTGAGGGAGAAAGGGTGGGGCGCTGAAGAATAGCGTCGTAGCCGACAGCAAATTCGGTCAGCGATAAATCATCGTACTTCTTATCCTTGGAGATGTACGATAAACTAAGGTGTCTGTGGGGCCATAATTGAGGGGACAGAACTCTGCTTGTTAATTTACAGTCTTTGCCTGATTTCAAGGTGTGGCGCCTACCTCTAGAAACGGGAAGATGGTCCTTTCCGTCATTATCCTCATCAGAAGATGAATCATCCAGGGTAGCAAGAAATCTGTCTACCCGAGTAGAAAGGGATTTTTTTGGACCTCAAGTCCTGAAGAGCGTGCACTGGTTGACTGTCCTCTGGAAGAAGCTTCGCACCGTCAGGAAGTGAAGGTATCGCGTGGCGGCGTTGATCGAGTTGATCTTTGCGAAGACGAAACGCCTGCAACTCCTGCCGCATGGCTTCCACTTGAACCGTTTTCTCCAAGACCTTGTTCTCCTCTTTGGCCCGAGTCATCAGCTTTTGGAGCTCTGTAAACTCCTCTCCTAGATCCGATGTCTGAGGGGCTGGCGCTGCGTCCCTGGGGCTGCTCAAGACTCCTTCATCAAGGTACAGAGAGGTTTTATGCGGAGAAATATCGTAGACTGGAAACTGTAATTGTTTTCCGCTATTCAATACAGCGTTGTCTAGTTGAGTACGTGGACGAAGAGAATATGCGGATCAAGACATCACGTCAGAAATCGTGAAGGATTCGACTGTGCAAGCTACAGTTAATCACGACCTGCTAATAAACTGACAAATTCTGTCGTGACGCTACTATATCAGCTGTTTCGTACTTGAGGGAATTCGATCACACAGTAATCCAGTAATCAGGATTATAAAAATAACTCAATCACACAGTTTACGAGTGAAGACGTTGGACTTTGCCTCTTTTACACATAGGCGTACGGGCAATGTTTTGCTAAAGGGGAGGGGGGGGGGGAGGGGTAAACCATTTGCCCAAACAATTCTTGCAAGTTGCCCAAATTTTTACAACACAGTCGAAAAGAAACGTGGGCCATACGATGCAAAAACATAGGCCTTAATGGCATATGAAAGTGGCCCGATACAGTTTTTCAGGGTCAATATCTGCCAAGTTTGACCATAACCTACGTCGACATAGACAAACTTCTGAAAAAATTGCCACCACAGTTGTTTTAGTGGTTTTGTAAACATTCCGGTCTACTTTAACAAACTAATGAATGATTTTTAAACCGCTTGGTAGATTTTTTTAAAAAAATTAAGATTCTTCGCGTAATTCAAACTGAGAGTTAGTCAGCCACTTCTTCACTTTCAAACTCATTGCTGAAGCTATCTGACATACACTGTTCTACGAGCGGAAGTGATTCTAGAAAGTTATGCGGAAGTTTATTCTAATCAATTCACGACTGGAAATGGCTCATTCCAGCTAGTGCAGTGCAGCACAGTGCCCAAAAAATCTGAGTTGCCCAAAATTTGAGGGGCGCTGCAGCCCGCTTCGCCCCCCCCCCCGCCGGCCCGTGCGCCTATGCTTTTAAATTCGTAAGTAAAAGAACGCTAATCGTTTACTAGGAAATTTGCTCAAACGGTTTTAAGAAATCACCTCGGCTTTACAACATGTGCAATTAACTTATGCTTTATGCAACCCAGATGGCGGTCTCAAAGTGCCCTTGTTTGACCTTAAGCAATGTCATGTTTAGTTGCCAAAATCTACATCATTGGTTCTTATAAGCATCAACTCATAGTACCTTCAACCTTATTGGCCCCTGCAACAGACATCCTAGCGCACAAAGACACGAAGCCACAAGGATACATAGGCTTAAACCACTGCCATGTGAGCTTTTTTTTTTTTTTTCAAAATAGCTCAATCATGCCATTATAATATTTCCATACAATTCCAACTAATTGAATAAAACCAAACCAGTCTTTCTTTTCGACGGTGTCTAATGGGCGGAACTGGGTTTGAAAACTGTCATACTTTTTTCATACTTTTTTCCGAGCTTGTATTGCAGAATTGAGTAGATTGCACTCCCACAACGACTCGATTTCTTTTCTTTTTAGTCTTAGGCTGTTTTCATTCTTAGTTTCAAGTACAAGGCACCTACCTCAGAATCACCTGCGCTTGTGTCAATGAGAAGTGAAGCTGCTTCTTGATCTGATTCAGTTGAAGGTGACACGCTACGGCTGATTGCTAACACAGAATAAAATAACAAAACCACGCATTAAATTCATCTATCGTTAATGTACTATTACAGAAAACACTCACAGCCAGGCACAATTACTGTACTACTGCACATGAACATGAACGTCAACTAACAGCCATCTCTCTTGTGGTCACATAGTTAACTTGCTGAATCAAACATTTCAACATTTCTATGAATGCTTAATCTTATTTCGATTAACATTTTATGCATTATCATTAATTTACCTGTTCATTTAGTGCAAACTGTTTCAGGGAGGTAATTTCAATACTCCTTAAATTGAATTAATTTAATATGGCCGCCGTATCGGTAAAGAGGTCTATTGTGGCATTATCTCGATTGAAGTCTCTGAGATGATAGCCTGCGAACAGCAGACGCATTTCCGCTCGTCGCTTCTCTCCCTAATGCGTCTGCTGTTCGCAGGCTACTAAGATGACCGCTTTATTAAAAAATAACACATGTACATGTTTTTTATTTTTTTTATATTTGCAATAATAACATTGAAATACAAAAAAAATACAGAAACACACTAAAAGGGAAAGAGAACAAAAAAGGAGTAAACGGAGATTGTAAATTAGTATTACGTATATTGATTTAAGTACTATCATTGCTTACAATTTACATTATTAACTTAATTATTAGTTCATTACGTGTGAGATTAAGGCTAAGAGAGATAATAATTACATCAAGTTAATCTTTCTATTTTCCATTGTGTTTTTAAATTATTTATAAAGTGCGTACAGTTAAGGGGCACCACATTAATTTTACAACTATACATACTTTTTAATAAACAGGATGAGTAGATCTAGTCGGCGTCTGAGGTTATCATTTATAGGACCAGGGATATATTTCTGCATCACAATTTACTCAGGGGAAAGATTAATAAGAGTATTGTGGGACACATTAAACCACGATAAAATTTCATGATCAAATTTAACATTTGCAGGGCACTGTAAAAATGTATGTTCCAGTGAATCAGGAGTCTTAGGCTGAGTGCAAACGGGCGCAACAACTCCCAACATTGTTGCGCCAACAACGTTGGGAGTTGTTGCGTGCGTATTGGCAGTGGTGTGCAAACGGATGCAACAACTCCCAACAAGTTTGGGACCTGCAGTGCACCGTAGGAAGAATACAACCCAGAGGTCTTTGTTCAAGGTGACTCAACCCAGTTGTTTTGTGAGGGTACCATCCCACTTTGAAGCTCTCTGGTATCACCACCTTTACTTTGATCGTAAGTCTAACATATAGCATGGATAACATATAGATCAGTCCACAATATGTCAGCCAAGCGCGGTCATTGTACGCGTGCTGAACAAGAGTGTTGTATCATGACAGACTAGAAACAATAGAAAACTCCCAGAGCACAAACTCAGCCAAAACGCTAAAAATCTTCAATGTTTACTCAAGTTTGGGCTTATAGAAGGTAATGTCACAGTTTTTTAATGATCATGAAATTCAGAATCGGGGTAGTTAGTTAATCAATTGAGGCCCTGAAAAAATTTGAGGGAAAAAAAAAATACGAATTTTTAAGAAAATGCTTTTTTCGTGAGACGGACTATTAAACGCTGACAAACGTCAACAAATAGCAAAAACTATAATTTGTATATGTTTGCATTGCTCGAAACAGCGCGCATTTACAAGGCCCTAAAGCTTTTTGCTGACTTGTAAGGACCCATCTGTTATAAAGATCCCCAAAATAAAGGGATAAATCTCATAGTTTATTAGATATAATCGTGTAAACCTTGCTTATCATTTTCGCACAAATTATGACCGAAATTTGGAAACCGCTGAATTTCTGGCATTGGATCTTTGCGATTTTGGTGAAACTCTGTTCAACACAAGGCACTAATAAGCACTATATGTAGCCGAGAGATTTTCACGAAAAAATGCCGGCAACAGCAGAATTTCGACTCAGACCCCAAAGAGGCGTGGCACTATAACCACGTGAAATTTACTCCGATGGCCAAAAACGTTATGCTACATTGTAGATTGATCTATATGTTATCCATGCTATATGTTAGACTTACGATCATAGTAAAGGTGGGGATACCAGAGAGTTTTAAAGTAGGATGGTACCCTCACAAAATAACGCTTCGGCGATCACAGCACAAAAGAAATGTTGGGAGTTGTTGGCTGAAAAGTTTGACCGGTTTCAAACTTTGCGCAAACACACGCAACAACATGCAACCCCCGCGTGTAAACGGACGCAACATGTAACATCCAACAATGTTGGGAGTTGTTGGCCAACAATGTTGCGTCCGTTCGCACGAGGCTTTACACTGATCACAAAGATCATCATTTCTGATTTTGAATTTCTTAAGTTCTTTGTTGGTTCAACTAAAATTCTATGGAGAATTTTGTACCCAAATTCTCTTTATTTATTTTCTTTAGTCGATTTATAAATTGTGTATTGAAAGACTGTTCCCAACTATTGGCAAAGTAAAGAAAGAAGCTAGACCAGCGTTTAACAGCAGTAGGCTCTGTAGTTTTACCTTCCTGAAATAATTGTAGTAGTCCTTACATCTCAGTTTAGTCAAGGAGAGTGGTCTATTGTCGGAAAAGTAAAAAACTTCTTGTTCCTTAAGTAGGTCTCTTTTCGTTACGGAAATTTCTTGAGCTTCTTTCTTCAAGCAACTTGGAATCGCAGCAATAAGTTGAAAATATTGAAGAAAGTTCAGGTGAACGTTATTTTTAACTTGTAAATAATCAAGGGACAGAATTTTCGTTTTCGTCTAATACGTATTAAACAAAACTGATTCCTTTCTCAAAAAGATGTGTCCAAAATATAGATTTATTCTATATCGTGATTTGCTTGTTATTCCAAAGAGTGAATTCACTTCTATAGACATCAGGATGACCTGTATGCAGTTCCTTAAAAATAATCCAACATTTCACCATAAAAGAGAGGAGGTTGTTTGTCTAAGAGTTTAGAATCATAATTACAAAATACTTCAGTAAAAAAGGTAACGTATATCCCTCCATATCTGTTAAAGGTCAGTCATTTGGGATTGCTTTTGCCATGATTCATTCGTACGGTTTAAAAACCTGCCGAGCCAGCTCAAGCGTAAAGATTTAACCACTGTGCGAAAGTTAGATACATGTACATGTATACCTGTATGTATGTACATGTAAAGCACTAGCAGAGAATTATATCAATTTCTTGTCTTAATAAGACCTCTAAGATAATTGCCCACGAACTTGTGCTAAACCAACTTACCTGACTTTTTCATAAGAGCCTTCTTGCAAGTAAAATAGCTTTCTTCCTCAATAATAGTCTTTAATCTGAGTGTCACCAAGTTGTTTTCTTTCTTCACATCATCAGTTACCAAAAACCTCTCTGCAGCTTCATTCAGGAGACCAGAACAATAATCATTCCAGAGACTTTCCAGACTTTGCAGGTAAGGACACTGAACTTTTATGACCAAAGATCCCACACCAACAGATGTTAAAGTTAAGTTGTAAGTATTTTCTAAATGCTTAACGAAGTCATTTAGTCCGCTGGCTGTAGAAAGCTTGTTTGTTTTATTGTATTCCAAGTACGCTTTAAGTTGTTGTCTTAATATTCCGTCCACAACGTCCTCCTGTTCACTACTTAAATCACGTGCGGTGATTGACATTTTAACAGTGTTTGCTGTTTCTGAAAATTATTGATTAAAAGCATAAATTATTAACTACAAGATAATTACTGCTTCTTAGAGCAGTTTTCACTTGACTGTCGAAAGGGATTGGTTTTGGTTTTGGTTTTGGTTTTACTACGTCCTTTGGTTGGCTAGTGTATTTACTTTGGTGTACGACAGTCAAATGAAAACCGCTCTATTACAATTCAATATAAATAAACTATTTACTAATGTACAAGGAAACTCAGCGAGGCTCCTCGTCAGCTCTTTACACAAAGAGAGCATTCTTTAGATATTCACCATTTTCACATATATCTTGCATGCATCTTTTTACCCCCAATTTCCCCTGGGTATTACACTCGTCCCAAGAGAAATCAAAGACAATGGTTTTGCAAAATTTGGGGAAGTTAACAAGGTGCGTGCATGGTCCATCTGAAAATGGTGATTTATAGCAGAAAGACAAAAATAATAATAAAAAAAACAGTTACTTTTTAAAAGGGCCAAAAAATTCTCAAGAGTTTATTAATACATGTAAAAAGGTTTGGCACCCAGTACACCTTCACGCCGATTTAAGTGTGTATTTCAGAAATGGGCATAACCGCTGGATTTTGTACCCTGAAGGCTCAGTTTATTCCTCCGGACTTTCCCTTCGGGAGTGCTCGTTTTGACTCGGTTCAAAGAAGGTGAGATTTTATGGCGGAAGACTCAGAAGCAAAGAAATTGAAAGAAATTGAACAATGGCTTAATTAAGCTGCCCAGGGCCACGAAGTTTTAAAGGTATCCTTTTGTTCTAAATGTGTCAATAAAACTGCAGAGAATTATCGCACATATCGCGGTAGAAGTTTATGGATTTAAGTCTTTCGCAAAACTTCTTCGACTTGGGTACGTATTTTTCAAAAAGGAGAGTTTTGAGAGCTTCAAAAAGAGATCTTGAACGAGAAATTTCGACCACTGTGGACCGAGATTTTTTTCTTGCCGGGGTTGCGAAGTACAAAGCAAGCCGCTGAGGCATTTTTTCTCGCCTATCGCTTAATAAAATCCGGCCGGCGGAGAGTTATCCATTCATTCAATCATAACAGTTATTCATTTCTCCAGAGCAATCAAACTATACAAGCGTTTCTACGAAATTATTTCGAGGAATTATGAATTCCGCAAGTTTTGATCTGTCGATTACAGTTTTAGATATTTCCTGTCTCACTCGATTAGCTCCGCGAATCAAGTTGTCATGCAAATCGGTGAACTGACAATACGCGGTTATTTCGGGCCCTGCAGTCACGTAACTGAAACGCAAGGTTTTTTTAAACAAAAAAACTGAAAGGCAAGCGAAAACGTCCAAAAAAGTGAAATTACACGCTGATAAATCTGTGTCATCCCGTTAAATGCATTCACCGCTTGCGTTGTTTACATTTTGAAGAGAGTTGTTCGCTCTTGATTGCAGAGCGCAGGTTTTGATAATACTGAATGAATAAAACGTTCTAATAAATACCTTCCGCAGCAATTCTTTAAACGCCAAATTATTTTCAAGGCAAGGGAGTATTTAATAAAAAAAAAATACCATAGGAGACTAGGTATTTATAAGCTTTAATCAACTTCAAATTTATCAGGCTTGTTTCGTTTGTAATACGGTGCGTGACCGAAAATATGTTATGCAACCAGAGTTGTCCGCCACACTTAAAAGACTTGTAAGCGTTCCCACAGACCGCAGCAAATTTAACAGGCAAGTCCGAGTATTTTAATGGATAAATTTAATACTCATCAGGTAACAATGGGGATTAAAAAGTCAATCAAGCAACAAAATTCGAAACAAAAGAGACATATCGCACCTAAATCAGAGGAATTCCGCTCGTGGATTCTTCGGAAGGTAATCGACAATGGCAAGAACAATAGCCTGAATATATGAATACTTGATAACCCCAAAATTTGGGGTACACACTTAAATCGGCGTGAAGTTGTAATGCGGCCTTGTCAATGTAATTCCATACCTTGGTCAGAAGTGAGCCCTGAAACGCTAGGAGTATGGCAAATTGAGGGAGATTCTTCACTTAATCTGGGTGCATCCTCAGTTTTAGGCTCATCAACTGGACATTGCTCTCCTGAGAATCCAGAAGCTGAAGCATGTGTTTTTGCAACAGGCTGCTTTCCATTGACAGAAACATCCTTTGGCATATCAGAAGCATCTGGTGTGACAATTAACAAGCCTTTAATTATAAGCTTATTCCAAATTAATTATATGTATACGTTGTAGTTCAAATTTTTTCTTTGGTTTGAATTTTTTAAACTGGTTTAAATTTTTCAAACTGGTGCAAAATTTTCAAACTGGTTAATTAAATTTTTTTTTCACATTTTCAGTAGTTTGATAGGTGTGTACCACTTTTCTAGCCTGTCGACTCGAGTATGACCACGACAAATTTTATCGATTATTTTCATGTGAATAAAAAAAAAATTAGCATTTTATAAAAAATAATTTTCTGTAAATCACAATGATGATGCGAGTTATTATAGAGAACAAGCAAGATTTAATTTTCCCCCCCTCTTTTCATAGTTTCAGCAGTTTGGATGGATCATTGCTTTGCAGGATGGACACTCTTGTTTTTGCTGTAAAGTGGAGTTTATACCATCAAAATTCCAATTATTACACAAACACGTTTTACACCCCCAAAAAATATAACTCATTTTTGTTTCATTTGGATAGTGCAAACATGTTTAATTGCAAAAGGTCATATCAGATGTAAGACAACACTAGCATCTTAAATTTTAAGATAAACCTCAGTAAAATACAGACAGACAATGCACAGTACAAAAATAATATTGGCAGCAAACCATGTGAATTCATTAACACATACATACAAATTTAGTTGAGACACTTTACCCTAAAGGGACTTTCTGATGTCTTACCAACTTCAAAAGGGGGTGTGAATGGGTCTTAAGACAAGCAAAAAGTGGCCCCAGGCAAGCAAAAGGTATAAGCTGCTTGCCCAAAGGACAAGCTTGAATTCAAGTTTTTTTTCCAGCCCTGTAAAAATGTCCTTGGCAACCTAACTTTGAAATATTCTTCACTTGAGCTGCAGGCTTAACTTGAGTGGCCCTATTGACCCCCATAGAACACTTTTTCTCCAGAAACACCATTCAGCCTAGATAAGCATTACAAAAATAAATACTATAAGGCTACCTTCAATGTCTTCAGTAATGCCCTCCATGCACTGAGAACCTTTACTGCATTTGGTTTCTGAATACCTCTGACGATTTGAAGAATCATCTGTTTAAATAAAGGAGTAGATAACAATAAATTGGCTGCTTTCATCTGGCAAATGTATGAAATATTCACGTCAATGAGCTGGGGATAAAGCATACAAAAGATTAGCTGGGTCATGATTACCAAACTTAATACCAGCCATCTTTTATTTCAATTTTTTTAATGATATTTTTAGGACAAAAAATCTCAGCAGTTGATTCTTAGTTCTGTTTTGTTTGTTTGTTATTCACTTCTTTTCAGAGTTCATGTCTTAATTTATTTCCTCTGTAATATGGAGCTCAAGGAAAGGTGTTTGTGAGATACAGATGGCAACCAGCCATCCTTCTCATGAACTATACCTTGATGCTACCAATTAATAATAACAATAATAATAATAATAATAATAATAATTTTCAGTACTTGATATTGTGCAACTTAATGTGCAATATAAATACACGATGAAATGCACAGGTCAATCAAATTGAAGTTCATACCGTGAACCCAGCTGATCATCTTCTCAATAAGATCTTTTATCTGCATGGCCCAGTTGTACTTTTTGTCAAAGGAATCACGCAACATTTTTGCTTCCTCCAGTCGACTTTTTCTGTCCTTGCCCCAGATTTTCTTAATAGCTGAGGTCCACTCTGCAGGCTCATCTGACTCAACAACATATGTTGAACCAAAAAGTACACTACACAGAGCTTTCCCAAAACCAGAGTTGCTACTGATGAGCACAGGGAGACCAGCTGACAGGGCCTCAAGTCCTGTCAATCCAAAGCCTTCTGTTCTTGAAGGCATGATTACAAGATCCACTTCTTGAAACAATTCCTTCAAACTCTCTCGCTCTTTAACAAATCCTCTTACTCTCAAGCGCCTTTCAGGAACACCACATTCAGTCAACTGTTTTGCTATTTCTTCGTGTTTTCCATCTGGGGCTCCAACAAACACAAGACGAGTATCTTCTAATGCAGCAATCGCTTTCCCGGCTATGTCAAACCCTTTTAATTCAAAATCTTCTACATCTCCACAACCAAATACCAAGACACTGTATTGTTGCCTTTCACTAGGAACCTGCTTTACAACCGCAAACTCTTCAAATGTTCCAGGAGTGAAGTCAAGAACAGTGTCATCTTTTCTACAGCTACGTAGATATGAGCGGAAGGCCTCACTCACCTTGGGTCCAACTCCTACAACATGATCTGCCATTTTACAAAGTTCTACTTCAGTCTTGTGCTTTTCTTCACCCTTTGAAATTGGGTTGGAATATTTTTTAAACATCCCAAGTTCTTCAGGGTCTGTGTGCACCACTTGAAGCCATTTGCACTTTTTAGATTTTTTTATGATTAGTGCTTGTTTACCAAGTTTAACACCATGACCCACAATAATATCAATTTGCAGATGATCTGGAGGGAAGCTAAGCCACTCAAGTTGTTCAAAGCCAGGTAGTGGTGCTGCCTCCATGATCTTCACATTGTTTTGTAAGGCAGCTTTCTTGTCCTCTTGACTGCATTGTGGTAAAAAGAAAGTGATTTCCACTTCAGGGCATTTGGCTAACTGAATGGCTAATTCTCTGTTTATGGTAGAAAGCCCCCCTTTGCTTGATCCCCATTCAGAAGCCAATATGGTGACTTTCACTTTGTGAGAGCTGCACACTTGGTCATCACTCATGCCTGTTTAAACTCTTTGTACAGGAGGTGCTATTACCAAATATCAAAGTTGCCAAACATCTACAAAATGATAGATAAAAACAGAGAACAATACATTGTGATAAACATTTTCAAAACTTCTATACTACCTTACTTCCAAAATTCCAACTGGGGTTCTTTTCAGAACACCAAATGGCTCCTGAATGGCGAATGACTCTGAAGTTTATAGTGATTAGTGTCATAGTTTGCATGCAGTCTCTTACATGTGCGCATGCGGACTAGCATGCTCTACACGGCTTGCTGGCTGAAATAAAAGCTTGTAGTGTTTCCTGCACTGAGTCTTCTTGCATGTGACAATATCCTGATCCGAAACCACAACTGAGTGAATCAGATTCTGTTTAAGGTCATTATATACTGAGCAAACTTACCTGAAAATTGATTCACTCAGTTTCCTTACCGTAATCACTAAAGTTCAGAGTCATTCGAACGTCATTTGGTCCTGGCACCAAAATTCCTAATTCGATATTACCACACTTCCATACTACCAAACTTCCACACTTTAACACTTCTTCCACACTTTTGTGACCCACACTCTGGCACTTACAAGTAAGAGCATACATTATGCTAATAGATGTAATAATCATGAGTCACTGCCCATAGTCACTTGGATTAAACTTTCCTTTTGGATGAAATTTATCAGAGGCCAAATGAGACAGCTACATGTTTGCAAATGAATCCACCCTCTGACTAAAGGATAATTAAATGGAAACTAGTGGCAATTTACATGCAAATTTCATGCTTTGTAAATACAAATAGATTCGTTCCAAGTATTAATTACATAAAAAACCTACTCATAGATATGATCTCACATTTAGCACTTTTATCACAGACTTATGAATACGCATAAGTTGTTCAAAAACACCACACTTTCTATAAATGCCCAGTATACGACTAATAATAAATAGACTTAATTAATGTGTCAAATGCCTACTAGCTTACTCGGAGTGCAAACTAATTGTGGAGACCTAACTACCTAAAAAGGAAAATCAAACAACTAAAATAAACAAACTCGGAAACCCTGCGACTGATCTAAGCGCTCTTTCTTGGAGACTCTCAATCTTCCGGCCATGAGATTTTCTACAAAAGTGCCATACCGTCTAGCAGTAAGTTATTTGTGGCAAAATCAAAGATTTGTAAATTCTAAGCTTTGCTAATGTTGGTATTACATTTTTCAGTCTCATCATTACCCCTATTTTCCTAGATACTCTTTTAGATAGCTCATCCAAGTGGCTAGTAAACTTCAGATGCTCGTCAACATATTTGTCAAGGACTTTGATTTTCATTCCTTCGTTTATTTTGTCAAGATCACAAACTTACCAAGAGTTTTCGTTCGTTCATATCGTGAACTTGAGATTACAAAGGTAACACCAACGCATAAAAGACGTAAAGTTTTTCGTGTAGAACTATTAAGAGGGAACAACACTACTTCTGTACTCGACACACCTCAGAAAACCGAATCAGAAACTAAAGGCGGAAGACGCTCTTCACAGTTCAGAGAACCACATGGGTAAGTACTTCATGTCAAGCCATCATATACTGCGGGCGGTATCACGCGATCTCTGTTTGGTCACGCACTTCGGTACCCCGATAACCTGAGATCAGGCCCAATTTGAGCGGTTCTCATACATTCTCTCTAACGGCTACCGCTGAAATATAATTGCCCGCCGGAATGTAATTTTCAAAGCGAAACGAAAATAGAGCCTGATCTCAGGTTAGTACCCCGACAGCATTTTTGGTTATTCTTTCATGTTACGCTTACGCCAAATAGGTATATCCTTCATGTAATAGTAATAGACTGTTTATCTCCCTGTATACCCTGTATACCCCTGTATACCCTGTATACCCATGTATACCCTGTATACCCATGTATACCCTGTATAATCTGTATACCTATGTATATGTTGCAGTTAATTTTTGTATTTCAGCTAATTTTTGGTTTTCCTTTGTTTTAAATTCATTAGCATACATAACCATACCCAGAAACAATGGAAAAATAAAAATTAACTGAAATAAAAATTAACTACAACATATACCCATGTATACCTTGTATACCCTACGGGGCACTCAATCGCAGACTAACCTGAGATCAGATTTTTTTTTGTTTGCTTGTTTGCTTCTTTGGCTCGAAAACACCAAGCTCCCAAGGAAGTGATCCCTAAAAAAATTTTTGCTGACTTATACAACGCTGACATCAGACAGATCACGCAAATGTCGTTATGGTCGAGCTACGGTATTTTCAGGTCTCTCCATTTTTGACAGTCACCCTATTCGTAGAAATTGCATGAGGACCCGTAAAGGGAGCAGGGGAACCTCATCTGAAAACGAAGGGTCGGAAAAGTAGAATTAAACCCCTAACGCGACGGACACCGATCGATGCGTGGCTCAGGATTTATTTGACCCCCAAAGGAGACCAATTTATTTCCATCAAGAGGGAATAGGTACTTGTTATCCAGCAGGGGTATTTTGCAGAAAGCCGAATGCAGAATGTCGAATGACTCTGAACGGTTTGGTGATTACAGCGTGATTAAGGTTCTTAAATGGAGCGTGATTCACTCAGATTCCTAACCATAATAACTAAACTTAACAGTCATTCGGGGTTGTGCATTTGGCGTTCGGCGAATACCGAACACTGACTGAATGACTATGAAGCTTAGTGATTAGGGTTAGGAAACTGAGTGAATTAAGTTTCAAATCTGTTTTCCTTGTTTAATGACCCTTAATCGGAACCTGACTCACTCAGTTTCCCAATCCCAATCACTAAACTCAGAGTCACAGAGACTTTTGCTCTTGGGCTATCGTAGTTTGATCAAAAATAAAACACAAGACCACAAACAGCGGTGATACACATTGTGAGGTTTCGCATTTGTATAAACTTGACGTTTCGTATGCTGATTCAACGTACATTTTCAAAAGTGATCTAAAGTGAGATTATCTTCAACGGTCACTTTAGATGACTTTTGAAAATGCATGTTGAATAGCATACGAAACGTCAAGTTTAAATAAATGCGAAACCTTCCCAATGTTTATCACCGTTGTTTGTGGTCTTGTGTTTTATTCTTGATCAAACTCAGAGTCATTCGGCGTTCCACAAAATACACCTCTGCCGCTTTCTCATCTCTTGCTCCCACATAGTTAACGGCATTAACTATTTGGGAGCCCGGTTAACCCCAAGCTATACCGTTAAGGACAAGAATATATTTTACATAGAATTATTTCCTTCCTTAAAGTTAACGTTAGTGCTTACATTACCGAACTGCTGAGTTGTTGCTGGGAGACGTGTGAGACGCTTTTTAAATTTCGAGGACCGTGTGCGCCTCTTATTCAGATACCACTCCTTTTTTCTGTAAAATTTTGTATTATTTTAAAATATTTTCAGCAACGTAAATAGTATCTCTACAGCTGGCAGGTGTCCCGGCCCAGCCACCCCTTTCTGAATTGTTTTAATCCGTCCCCGGCCCAAGTCTTGCACTCACTGAGAGTACCAGTCTATGGTGGTTTCATGTCAACAGGAACTTGACCCGTGAATTATGACTACGTTCTCTTTGCTCGCCGCAAGGCCGGTTTTCCGTGTCTTGGACGTCGATGAAGATCTCTTCTTGCTCAGACTCCAGCTCGGTCTCTATCCTCTCCATTGTGTCGAGGTTGGTAGAAGGCGTGTTCTCCCTGCTCAAGTGACTCGTCTCTGAATCACCGGTTTCTCCTTCTCGAGTAGGTTTTTCAGATCTAAAACAAAATATACACAAAGTGTGTTAACTGTTTTTTCCTTCTTCCTATTGAGAAAACTTAATGGACGTTTATAGCCTGATTTAAACTGAACTACATTGAATCAAGTCATATATGTCAAGGAGGAAATGACAGAGGTGAGTGATAGCCGTGTCCTATTAACAAGAAAAAGAAATTAGAACCTTTCAATGAAATCCATGCAATGCTTGTGTCCATAAATCATAGCCACTCGTTTGGGTGTGTCTCCAGTGTTATCATTTTTCGTCACGCTAACTCCACTGGCCACAAGCGCCTGCAGTATTTCCAAACTACCACATTCAGCGGCACAATGAGCTGGTGTCCATCCTCCTGCCATGCGCATCTCACCATCTGCTCCATGTTCCAGAAGCTTCTCAACGCAACCAACGTGCCCCGCCCCAGCTGCCACGTGCAAAGGCGTTCTCTTTCCCCAGTCCCAATCCTCTCCGTCTGGATTTTCCTCACCACTCAGTAGCAGATACTCAAGGGCCTGGGTATCACCAATGGCAGCAGCCTCATGCAGGGCCGTCATTCCTGACGTAACAGGAACTCAACGACAATTCCTGAAAATATATTGTAATTAGGCCATTTGGAGTCAGTCAGTCAGTTAGTCATTCAATGAGTCCGACTGCCCGAGTAAGAGACGGGGAGGGGGAAGGGGCAGCCATTTCCCCACTTTCCCTTTTTCCACCGCCCACGATATTTAGCCCTCTTTCTCTAAACAAAGAACCTGTTCACAAGGTGGTTACCACCGACGGGGTACAGTGAGTTTGCATGGAGATAACTTGAACTTACAGAAATTTGTAACGACTGATGTTAAAGTAAATATCGTCGATAAAATGACTGTTAAGGTACAAAGTTCATCAGTTCAGATGGGAAAAAAAAGCACTACCAAAATAAATGGTCGAATTTAAAAATGCAAATTTAATATTAAATTCTTAACGCAGAAATTTCAATTTAGTCTTTTCCCGTAAAATTCAGCAAAATGGAACACGCATTTATAGTAGAAATTTTGTGCGCAAAACTCACACCTCAATAGGAGATAAAAGACCTTACCTTTAATTGTTGAATCGCTTTCAAATGTACCGAGATATTTCAATATACAAAGCTATATTCATCACTTCGGCGCTCTTCGCAGCACTAAAGGGCAAAGACTACAATTCCTTTGTTTTCCGTAAATCTTGCATAGACCAGAAAGAATCGGTGAAGATAATTTGCGGCTTAAGGTACCCGCCGACGCTAGTTAAGAACAAAATCGAGGAACATTTTACATGTAAGTGGCACACGGACTGGGCGCTTTAAGGTAAACAACAAGCTGCTTTGTGTGCGTTTGATAAAAAAAAAAATCAGCGTGAAAAAAAGAAATTTATATTAAAGGTTGCCATAACAAAATGCACCTGCTGAATCTTGATTATGCGCATAAATTATATACCTTCCATCGGGAGGATTTTCCGCCATGTGCATTGGGTCTACTGGGGCTCGTTTTACGATTCATTTTCGGACGATTTTAGTGTTTTGACAATGCGCTTACAACGGATAACGGAGCAAATTGGCTGTTAAGAAGGCTACAACACGCACTACCCTTCTTCCGATTTGACTTTTAAAATCGGACTTTGTGTTAAAAAGTAAAAGCGACATTTGGGCAATGGGCCACTGGCTTAAATAACAAATCCGCGTTTCGGTCTGGAGGCTAAACAAGCAGTTTTTTTTGTTTCTATACGATAAGGTGGAAACTGTGTTAAACACTGCATTGTGTTTTGCAGTTTTCAATCTTATTAACGTCACCCCTCTACCACGTAGATATTTTCCTTTCACAGTTAAGCAAATAACAGGAAGACACAATAGAACTTTAAAACAACTTTATTATTACAATAAAATTCTGAATTTCTTCTAAAAAACGATACATAAAAAAACTCTAAAAAAATATTAAAAATAACATATTATAACACTTACTATGACACATGCCAAATTTTTTAAATACATAATATATCAGCAAAATCCCTGATCTAAAATCTCGCATTCTGATTACCTGACGTATTGTACTTACTATCGAATACCTCACATATGTCGAACACAGAAATGTCGGGTTTTAAGACAAGTGGCAAGTAATTACCAGAAAGTTAGCCTCCGAACGCAGACGTATATCCGGTCGTCGTTCTCTCAGATGAAGAAAAGCGACGACCGGAAAAACGTCTGCGTTCGCAGGCTACCAGAAAGTGTATACTATCTTTTTGTGACTCTGTCACTATAACTTTCGTATATGAAATGAAAATCAGAGACACGAGAATTCATGAATGAAAATATGTTAAACTTAGCTGGGCTCTTAAAACAAGGGGGAAAAGCCCGTTTTTCTCCTCAAATTCATCATGCTTGTTTCTATCATCAATTCTTCTCACTGATTAAGTCCGGGCTATTGCCATTGTACGTAACCAGCAGCAAACTCTCTCCGCCTGCACAGAAAAAGTAAAAAAAAGTCTTAAGGACTAAAATATAAGAGTACAATATTCATTCACTAGTTTCAAGTCCTTCTACTTCTTGCCAAACCTCAATCCCCACCCTGGGATATATGACAGGGGTGATTCGTGAACCATTCCTAAGAGACTCTTTTGAATATCAGTCAGTTACTATTTATATCCTAAAACACTGACAAATGTTATGGTTTAATAGCAGCTCATTTTCTGGGCTATAACCTTACCTCATGAAAAAAAGAAAACAGAGAACCTTAACAACAAAGCCAATCCACAAGGTATATACCTACTTGGATAGTGCTGCTGAATATTTGCTGTACAAATTAAATTAGTTAATATGAAGTAAGGTAGAACCTTGCCCTATACAGCCACCCTGCGGTCATACACCTTTTCTTGGACCAAAAACCAGTCATGTCCTCATTCTACAAACTTATTAATCTGACCAACCATTGCTATGATTAACAATAACTTTTTGGATACACCAAGCACCATTTTCTTCGCAATTTTACCATTTTAATATGCAATGCAACCACTAGTGGCTGGGATTTCTCCTGGCTACTATGTGCATGACCCCTAGCTACTTTCATAGGAAACAAAAGGAAAATAGAACACAAAGCACTTCATAGCTGCTCAATGTCTCGCCTACTAATATTATTGCATATATCTACAACTTGAAATCTTATTCACGGCCCTGGATATGACCAGTTGAATTCCTGGTAGGGTTAAGAAATGCAGTATCAATCATTATTGAACTTTGTTCTTAGTGCATTACTATAAAGCTTGGGTTTTCATCTACATCTACCTATTAACAGATAAACCAGAATCACAGCAATCCATATGATACCCATCAGACTGATAGTCAGAATATTTTATTAAGCTTAGTTGGTCATCACACTGTTCAAAAAGGCATAGTATCGTAATTATTGACGTGACCTTAACAAGTGAACACATCCACCCTGTTAATAAGTCAAAATTTTCATTACCCAACCACGGTTGTATTAATGGCATTCCACTCACTGCATCAATTTACCTAAAAATAGTACCTTTTTCTTTGATGTAGTGAAATAAGAACTATCAGAAACAAGGTTACTCCAGCAATAGGAAGAAAGATAATCATCCAAGGAAACCCAGGCTAAAAGGAAACAAGGAGAAAACAGGAAATAAACATTAAAATTTTAAACCAAGGTAATTTGATTAAACCCGGGGGGGTGGGGGGGGGGGTCCTCAGGATTTGAAGTGATGGGGATGATCAAAGGATGTTTTGGGGTTTTAAATTTTCGATTCTGGGATTTTTGGGGTAGAAAAATTAGGCAAGTAATTCTCTGAGTGGCTTGATTTAAGTAGGGATTTTTGGGGGTATTTCAAACGATCTGAAGATTCATAGTAGTGCCCGCATATCCTGGCCGCATGGCTTTGCTAATAAAGTACAACCAAACTTGTTTTGCTTACTGGAAATTTTTAACGCTCGGAAATTCAGCATGGGATTGTTTTGGGTTTTGATTTTTCATCTCCTTCACTTGAAATCTGGAGTATCCATTGGAATTAAACCACAACACACACAAAAAATAATCTTACCTTGACTAAACATTTATAACCAAACCACCCCGCTTGGCATAAACATTCTGTGGACCCAGGTCCATTGGGAAAACAATCGGCATTTGCAGGACAAGTGACTAAAAAAAGGAATTAAAGTCTGTGGTTCACAAACATGAAAGTGCAACAATATTGTCATTACAATGTAATAATGTTTCTCTTATTTATTCAAAAGGTGGACAAGGCTATCCACTAGATCTTTATCCATACTGTAGCTACGTATAGGATAGTGCAATAATATTTTATTGGTTTCCCTGATAAATGTACAGGAATGTACTTATCCGCTGAGTAATGACTTACCAGGTGAATAGCAATATTTGGCATTTTAAACAACTGGGATCAGGTGTTCTGTTGTACAGTGTATATATGGGCACCGGTGACATTTTTCTGGGGGTTGCATTGAGATGAAGTAGTAACAATCCTTGGGACATGTACTTCTTGCTGTTGCAGTCAGGGCAGGTCAAGCATACCCCCCAAGATTGCATTAATGAATTTATTATTCAAAGTTTGAATCCATCAGTTGGTAGTTGTAATAAACAAAATCACTGTACCATTGAGGACTTTACAGGCATCTGCCTTCTGCCCTTCACACCATCTTTCAGAGCCATTAACAAAGGAGTTTTTCCATAAATCATTGCCTCCTGTACAATTACAACTTCTTGGCAAAACCCTAAAAGCAAAATATACAATTGAATTAGTTATTATTTTGTAAAGCCTAATACCTCTTAATAGGCTCATCCTCGGTGTAAGAACCTGTTCAACTCTCCGGTGACGTAAAACAAAGAAAACAAATAAGTCATCACAATAAAAAACCTAGAAAAACAAAAGGTACAAAACAAAGAAAAAGTTCCCAGGTTCCTACACCGAGGTAAACCCTCCTAATAGACATTTCTGAACTCACAATTCACTGAGGTAAGTCTTTGAGAAAAATGTTGTCCATGATCAGGAGGAGTCAGCATGGCTCAAGTTCAAGCCCTGCCCTGACCGCTAGCTGGATTTGCTCTCGGTATTCCCGAGTTCAAATCCTCAACCATGCTTGTAAAAAGCCAACTGGTTTACCTCCAGCCAGTTCAGATTCTTTACCCTGTTAAGTTTCATCAGAACTATTTGTTTCAGGCATTTGCTTGGCTCCACTAGCATCAGTAAAATAAATACTGCCCAGGGTAAACAAAGGATAATTATTACCAGACTTTCCTTACAACTGGTTCCTGAATTCGTACATGTATTTTAGTTACTTTGAGAGAGGTTGTTAAAAACAAGCAGGTGTTTGAAGCTAATCACTAAAACCAGACTGTGGTCTGCCTCATTAAGTGTGAGTTATGAGGAACCCTGCGAGACCATTCAAATGAAACGTCTTTAGCATTTCAGCATTTTACAAAATTAATGAGTCTAGAATTTTTGTCGAATTTTGTCTTTAGCCACAACTGGGAGTAAATGGAGTAAGTCTGGACTTACACTTACACTTCTGAAAGGTTCTTCAAGCCTTTAAAACTACCAAGGAATGTTTTGCCAGTACATTCTAGGTTGGGATTGTCCTGCAAATACCTGAAATGGGTCATATCATCTTTAAATTATCAAATAGTAACAGACTTAAAACTTTAGATGTACTACAGAATATGCCAGCTACAGCAAATGAGTCGTTAAAACCGTAATGGGTGTACATTATTATTTTTTTAAATATTACTTGATGGTTGACTCAATTTACATATACAGGTCTACATTTTAGTATACACACTGTTATTTTATTCCAGTCCCTAAGGTTTGAAAAATGTAATAAAAAAGCAAATTTTAAAAAATCTTTCTCCAAAGTACATTGTACATGTATACCGTATGAAGGGGCCAAACAAATATTGTTTTGTATCTTTGTATGTGCAGTATACATGTAGTTAACATAATGTGTGATTAATGTAATGTGTGAAGCAAAAATAAATACAATGTAGTTGCAGCAACATTTTATGTACATGTACATAATATGAGTTACAGGTTGAGTTTTTTTCCGGTTAATTTTGAATTAACTTTGGCTGGTTCCTTTGGTCTTATTGCCCTCACACAAAGAAAATTGAGAATAAACCTAGAGCAGTAGGTTAAAAATTTTAACCTGAAATCAAATTTGTTATAACTGTATCAGTTATCATCATCAATAAATTTACTATTAGGGGTGACACAAGAATGCTAGCATACAACACCATAAATTATACAGGGTGTATATTGTGCATTGGCTTTGCTCGATTGTTTCTTTGGTAATAATACACTGTGCTGTATACTTACAGCCATCTAAGAGTTTGAACAGCCTTTAGAGTAGGCATGATCTTTAATGTGCAGTTGCTAAGGTCTAGTCTAAAAAACACAACAAAGAAAATTACACTTGTCAGTTATCTGAGCAAAATTGGGGAATGTAAATGGCACCACCTCCTCAGTAAACTCTTTCCATTTTCTCTTTCAATAATACAATCCTTTTTGACAAATGTACATGTACAATACGCGAATCTCACTTGTAGACTCCAGTGGGCGCAATAGAGACCATCCGATTGGACTATACAGGAGTATACAGGGATAATCACTTCTCACATCACTCCTATTGTTAGAGCCTCCCTAGAAAACGTTCAGCAATAGCAGGGCTGTCGCTGTGTGTGGGTACCAAGGGTTTTCCCCAACTACTGTGGGCATGACCTCCGGCTATACAGCTGTAGTAGTTTAAAAGGAAACAGAGGGAACATAGAAGTAAAAGAACTTCCTAGCTGTTCAATTCCGTCTTCTGCTTGCAGACAACTGGTAAATGAAATTAATATTATTTAGCCACAGCTCTTAACGGGATGGAAGAAGAGGTCTGTGCAATAAAACTCTTGGAAAAAAACGATACTGAAAATAATATTATTATCTTTTAAAAAGATTTATTTATGCTCAGTTGAGTACTCTTCCTCAAATCTGAATGTCCCCAATAGCCTGTACACAGACAGTGCTTTCTTTTCCCCATCAAAAATTGACATGCATGTGAACAAAGTAAGCACGCAAGAACTAGTGCAAGGCATCAAAATGAGGGTGGAGTGCAAGAGAGAAAAGAAAAGAATGTCTGTGGACATCTTTGGGAAAAAAGAGGTTTATTTAGTCCCTTCCGCATGTCAACACCTTATCATTAACACCTTTGCATTCGCTGACACTAAGGTAAATGATCAAACAAAAGAGTGACAATTGAAGTCTCACGTTTGTTAAATCATATCTGCACAGACTGCTTCGGAGGTGATAACAAGCACTTCAACTCACATGTTGGTAGCATGATAAGTTGTTGACATGGTGTTGATACTGAGCGCTTATTTTTGTTCCACTATACACTGATGTCACGGAAACAAAATAGTCACGTTCAAGGACTTTTCAAGACGACTATCAATAGTAATTTGCTTTTCCTGGGAAAAGCAAATTTCAGTTGCTCCCAAAGATGTCCACACACCATCTATTTTCTCTTTTCCCAGCCACCACCCCTTTGCGCAAGTGGCCCATGGTTTATATTTTCATACATGCTCTTGACGATCTCTAAAGAGAAAATAGAGGGTCTGGGAATAGGCAATGTCTCCAGGTCCTCTTCTTTGGCTTAATCACATGAATGCCATAAGGTTTGAAACACAATCCACGCCTAGACAGTTTACCAGAGGCATGTGAAAAATCCAAGTAGTGTATTTCTAATTCTAGAGTATGAACATTTCATTCTTAAATTGGGTGACAGTATTTACATATTGTGTATTCTGCAAGTAAAAATCTGTTCTCAGGTTAAACCAGAATTCCCTTTGTCTCCAGAGACTGGAATCAAACCAGGCTGAATACTGGTTTCGCCTGATAGTTTTTTTTAAAGTACTTTCAGCAAGATCTGATTTTTAAAAGAGCACGATTTGAAGAGGATGTATATATTACACTATGGATAACCATATCAAGGAAATTAAGTTAAGAATCAAATAGTGTATCTACAACCGCTGAAGATCGGTTTAAATCCTTACTTACCCCACGACGGATCCTTTATTAATACAACATCTTCCACTTGTAGTTTCATTCAACATGTGTTTGTTACAAGACGTAGTAGTGTTTCTCCCATGACAAGACCGTTTACAAAGCTCGATTCCGACTGGATCTTTAACTAAAGCTCTTAGAAAGCTACTAAAACTTGAATCTATAGTAAAAGAAGTAAAAACTAGTAAAAATCCTACGTAAAAACGATAAAAATCTAAGCTCATATTTACAACTAAATAATCCAGCGCGGTGTTTTCAATTTCACTCAAAAGTCATGTGACTCATCTTTCATGGGGACAACCGCTGGAGGTAATTTGAGCCAGTAACTAGGATACTTCAAGCGCAAAAACATGGCGACTGTGCTGTCACAAAATGCTTATTTTGAATGTGATTTTTTGTATTGAACTTGAAGATCCAGAGCCGCCAGGATGCAGCTTCGTTACATGAAAACTCTACTAAACCCACAGGTTATTATCTAAACGTCGCTTCTTCTCTTAATTCTGTTCTAGAACTCTAATTGAACTTAGTTATGGAACTCCATCCCATATAATTTTGACTCTATGTGCTAGTCAAGGCAGACTTTTAAGAAAAACATTAATCTATAAAACCAAAAAGTTTGCTTATTTTATTTTGAAACTGCTGTGATTCATTTATGATTGAAAGCTTTTACATGTAGCTCATAATTTATTATTACTCTTTGTATCTTACACAATGTACAGGTAAGTAATATGTTCATAAATGTAAGCTTTGCAATGTAAGCTCATACACCTAATGTACAGTATCTTAATCAAAGGTTAATAATTAACGTGCATCTGATAGTTAAATTTTTTCTGTATCTTCGCACAGCATAAACTGTCAATAAATATGTCACAGTTAAAGTACTGTTTACACTGTACAGACTTGTTACTTGTACATGTCATGTGTTACAGGTCAATTTTAGGTTAAAACCTAGGCGTCAAAGGGAACTGTGAATCAACCCAGGTTAAAAGAAAATTAACCTGCAATCATGACCAAACAGGACTTTTTTCAAGCCCCAGAAAGTCCTTAATCTGAAACCAGAGCTAAACAGATAACAACATAAACTAGACAGGAACAGCTGAAATAAGAACAGGTTTTAGAGAAGGTATATAGCATACTCCAAGTTTTTTTAATAACTTGCTGATCCCATACTTTCCAATTGTGCTGTTCTTGACATGGGTAGAAGCTTTTGTGCTACAATACAGTGGTAATGTTTCTATATGATCATCTGTGCTTGTATATAATTATGGTACCTGGTAATTGAATTTGAGAAATGGTAATAATAATAACACATGTTATTGTCATCAAAGTGAATAGGTCTAATTATTTTGTTTTTATAAGGATGGGGCCTGCAAGGTTACTGCGATGGCTTGGTCACCAAACAACACCAAAATGGCCGTCATTACCATGGACAGGGTAGTTATACTCTATGATGAGCTGGGTGAGAGAAGAGACAAGTTTTCAACAAAACCAGCTAATTCACAGGTACAAAACTAGTTAATGATAATGATAATAACACTATGTACCATCTGAAGACCATATGCAGACTACATTATAGTGTATGTTGTAGGTAAAATCTGTTCTTGAAGTAGATGTTGGTTACGTAAAAAGCTTAGCTTAATATATGTACATAGCTTCAATTAATTAATAATAATTTAAATTACAATTGTATTCCAAGGAACAGCAGAATGTTAAAACCAATTGTGAAAAAAGACCTTGCTATTAACAACATCGTATGTCAAATACATCCAACAACAGCTGGAGGATCAAAACAACATCCTCCAACTCAGATAAAGACAAAGTGCTTAATAATTAAGCACTTTGCAGGGACCAATCAGTGAGAGAAAGCTGTGGTCATCTGCACAGCCAAATTAATGATGATGATGATGATGATGATATGGCTTATAATACATGTAGTTAACCTCTATCATCAGGTTAAAACCAGTATTCCGGTTCAGAATTTTCTTCATGCTAGGAAACAAGGAAATTCTGGTTTAACCTTAGTATGGATTTGACCTACAGCATAATATATAGTGTACATTGCAGATGTTAATTAATTATACATGTAACTGCTGAGATGTAGACCAAGGGGTATCCTTGTTGTCTTTGAATGCTTACGCAAACATAAATGAAGACAAACATGTAGCATCAGTAAACACATGTATTAATAACATTGTAAGCGATGACTATAGGAATATTTTTCTTTGGTAGGCTGGGAAGAAGAGTTACATTGTAAAGGGACTTGCATTCTCTCCAGATTCTACTAAAATAGCTGTGGGACAAACAGACAACATTATATTTGTGTACAAAATTGGAGAAGAATGGTAGGATTTTGTTTCAAATTTACAATATTGATATTATTTTGTGTGAAGCCCTGATGATGTTTTGAAAATTATTTTTTATTCTCATGCATGCAAATAAACTCATTTTCTGCCACAAAAGTTTTGCACTTATCCTTTTTCAATAGTGAGAGTTTTTGGAACTTGAAAATGGCCTGTTCAACTGCCTTGTTCAAGTTTTATTGAAATCCCTGATGACGTTTGTCTTTTTACTCCTTGTAGGGGAGACAAGAAAGTTATCTGCAACAAGTTTGTGCAGCAGGTAAGTTCAGTCTGTTATAGTCTTGCTTACATTGTAACAGAAGAGCTCCTATTCCAAGGTAACTTGCACAATCATTTGAAGGAAGAGCACTCCTAGGGTTCTGCTATAAACTGCTGCTTGTAAGCCCTGAGCTTATACGTGGACATCTTTGTAAGGGGTTTTAGTAGGGCTTATAAAATTTATAATAGAGGGGGCATATATCTGACGGGGCTTATGACTGGAATAATAATACCGGTAATAATAATAATAACTATGATGATGATTTAATTACTTATATTGCGCAGGTATTCATAACAATGATCAAATGCGCATAGCATTTATTAGTAATAAAAGTATGAAAAAAAAAACACTACAAACCTATTTACAATAAGCAAAACAATAAGAATATATACACTTCTGCCATGAAAATCTAAATATCGATATGTAAACAATATTATTAAAATTCATTCAACCATAAGCAAACTTAAAAAGGTACGTCTTAAGATTGCTCTTAAAAGTATGCAAGTTTGGAATATCACAAAGCTCACGCGGTAGAGTATTCCATAACTTGGGCGCAGCCACCTGGAAGGACCTATCACCTAGTGTTAAGAGCTCTCGCAGTGCTAATCAAAATATGTTTTGCATTTACTAGTGTTTCACACATTGTGACCCTTTAAGCCCCAATAGTGACCAACAAATATTTTCTTCTAACAATAATTTCAAGAGGAAAGGTTAAGAAAATTAATGAAATGTTCACTTAAGGGAAAATGTTTTGATCCTTTAACAAATTCTTTCCACTTATTTTTTGAGGAAATGTATAGAGATCAGTGTGGAGAATTTGTATTTGGATGTTAGGGAAAAGGGTTTTTAAGCTTCAAAGCATCATAGTGTACAATTTGTAAATCAAATTCATTTCAATACATTTGGAGGGGAGCTCATATTCAGGGAAGGGGGGTATTTTTTTGTGTACTGGTAGATCGCCTTCTTCTCTTCAATTGATGTGAAACAGCTCTAGCTCATAGTTCGAGGAGGCCTAACCTCTCATAAGCTCCTATAGTTTCTGTTAGGTGTCCTCGCCACTTCTTTTTTTTTTTTTTTCTTCTTCTTTTCCTATATTTTTTGTAATTAGTGTGGCAAATAAAATAAAATAAATAAATAAATAAATAACTGAAGGGATTATGAGTTGGGGGGGGACTTGTACACTTGTGGCAGTTTAAGCTATGCATGTGCAGCTGTAAGGATGTGCTCTTCTGCATGGTATGCTTTCTGTCTCTCTGGAGCAGAGATGATTCCTCCAGAAAAACCTTATTTATTTATCTTCAAGTAGAGATCACTGGGCAAATTTTGTCTGCAAAAGGGTTGGAAATTCATCTTTTGCTTGTCTGCAGCTTGTCTAGAATCTTGGAGAAGCCCATTTCAAAACCCACAGAAATGGAAGCAACTTCAGCAAGTGGGAAAAGTGTAGTGATGAGAGTGTTTTCTTCCCACCAACAGCAGCACTTTATTATTAAATTTAAGACTATCTTTTTGGCATTTTTAATAGAGCCCTGTGACCTGCTTGATATGGCCACCTGAACAACAGAACATCATCTTTGGCCTAGCAGATGGGAAGGTAAGCTTGACTTGAACTGGCTTCTTAAGACATCTTGCCAGTGATATAGTGCTGTAGGTGATTTTTTAAGCTCACTTAATGTCTTAAGTAATAGTGCCTTGCTTGAGGTACTCAGTACTTACACTGTATTAGGAAGCTTAAGCAAAGATGGTTTTGAGCAACATACATCAACTGGAAGTGGACGTTTTGCGTTCTTGGTCAGTGGTGTTGCCCAAATTCTCAGGTAAATGGTCTCTTAAAGACTGAAGACACTTAGCAATACAAATTTGATGGCTTCAAGGCAGATTGATAGGGAAAAGCGTCACAATCGGTTGATGTGCGTTGCTAAAAAACGCCTTTGGTTAAGCTCTCTAATGATTATTATAGTAATCCAGTTGCTGATTATTCTAACTATTAACTTGAACTTTTTCAGGTTCGTATTGCCAATTTAAAGACCAACAAATCAACAACACTCTATGGAACTGACAACTATGTGATTTCTTTGGCTGCAAAGTAAGTTTCGTAAGCGAAGACTGGATGTTATAATATCTAATAATAATAATGTATCACTGTATCGCACAAAAGTAAGTTGACAGTCAGTTGCGTCCCGATTCTCGATTCTTGAGTCTCAAGAAATGATTCTCCAGTTTTGAGAATTGAGAGTGGAGTCAAGAATATAATGAGCTCGTCGCTTGACTGATCTCTCGAGTAACAAATTCATGAGACAGACCGCAATCTGTTACTTCAAACTGGGACAAACCGCTTTTGCAATCCTCACTTGCCTCTGTGATAAAACAAAATGTGCACTTTTGAAATGTATCTGCACAAAAGGACGAGTTCAATGGCTGACAAAATTCGTTGATTGCTCTGAACTTTTGAAACAAAAATGTAAACTTTTTGGGCCAGTTATTTAAACATAGTTTAGCAAGTGTGTAACAAAACCGCGTTCTAAGCCATTTTTAGTTTGCTGAATGCTTTTATATAAACACCATTTATCGTGAACAGTTTCATGAAATCATATGACGCAGACTAGAAAAGCATTTGTCTTCTTAAAATAATCCTGCATGGACGACATCTCGAAGTCCAAAGATTTCCTAAACTTTGGTCTAAGTTAGACTTTGTTTAAATAACTGACCCTTTGTTGTCGGTGCCTGGTCAAAAATTACCACCAATAAAAAGTAACAAACAAGCATGAATGTCTTGTAAGTCCACTGCATTGCAGTTCCATTCAGCACATAATATTAGGCTGATTTAGCAACAGAATGGGAACGTCAGTTGACGACAGCATGCGCAAATCAAACAACTGGCTTGGCCAATGGCAGAGCGGCAAATTGAGGACCGGAAGTCGTGTTTAGTTCTTCCCGCACGCTTTCCCGTCGTCAACTGACGTTCCGTTCCGTTCAGTCAGTTTATAAATTCAATCACTGGTGTCAGGTAGTACAGTCAAGCCTCGTTCAAATGGACATTAAGGGGGCCATAGAAAGAGTATGTATTAACTGGGTGTCAGTATTAAGCAGGTTAAATGTAGAGAAAATGTAAGGGGTCTCTTTCCCCAGGGACAAAGCAAACTGTCTGTAATAATGAGGTGTCCATATTAAGCAGTTTTGACTATAAGTGAATCACTCAGTCATTTGGTCACTAAGGCTGTTTACCATTAGTCAGAACTGGCTGGCCTTCTGTCCAGTCATTTAGAGAATTCAAATATTGATCAGAACTGCCCAACCAGATCACGCTATTCCTAAGTTATAGTAAGAAACAAGACAGTGATTTGGTTACAGCAAAAACCCTCCAAAAAACCATTTTTCCATTTTTAAAATGACTGGTCTAGCTGGCCAGTTTTGACTTTTGTTACATTTGTAAGCTCACCCACTCAGTTAATTAAAAGTAGTTAAATGTGTGTGTGTAACAGTGAATGTTTAAGTAAGTTTTTGAGTAAGTGAGTCAGACATGCAACTACACTGTCACTCAGTTATGCAGTCACTCAACCAGCCACTCAGTGAGTCAGTCATTCCTGTCATAAGGTCAGATTGTCAGTACATCAGTCAACTTGTCAGTTTTAAGTCAGTCAGTCAGTCAACTCAGTCAATACTTAACATTATTGGCCCACTCCAAGCCTGTCACCAAGATTTCAAGTTACTAGTAAAGTAGTAAATACAGCAAGTGGGCAGAGAATCAAACTGCTGAGGATTTCTTTTGGTTTTATTTTTCTTCTATTTTTCTGTGAAAGTAGGTGAGAGTTGCGTTCCTTGTAGTCAGGGGACTGGGAATTACTACGAACCACATTTTTATGAAAATGCCATGTATTTCTAGTCAATACCCCATGAAAGGCATTTCATGGCCCATAAAAACAGCAAAATTAAATTTCGTGGCTTTATTTCTGGCAATAAATTTTCCATGAGAGGGTAACTTTTTAGTTAATGACTCACCTAGTCACCCTAGTCAATCAAGTCACCCTTCTGGCCCAAGTTACCCTAGTTACACTAGTCACCGTAGTCATCCTAGAATCACCTACTCACCCAAGTCACCAAGGTCACCCTTTCTCACCCTAGTCAACCAAGTCACCCTAGTCACCCTAGTCTCCCAAGTCACCGTAGTCACCTACCCAAGTCACCCTACTCACCCTAGACACCCAAATCATCCTAGTTACCTAAGTTACCCTTGTCACCCTATAATCTCTGCCCATGGCTATTAATGAATGCACTGCACTCACTGACTGAATAAGAAAATAACAGTTCCTTTAAAGATGGTCAGTTAGCTTGTCATTTAGTTAGTCAACTAGTAAGTCCATTTTTCAGTTGGCTAGACAGTTAGTTAGTGTCAGTTATTTGGATATAATATTATCATAGTCAGTTAGTTTGTCAGGTTGTCCTTGAATTTGTGGATCAGTCAATTGATGATCAGTTCTCATTTTATTTGGCAGTGTTTCAGGAAAAGGAATACTTTCTGGCCATGTTGATGGTGCCATAGTCAGGTACTTTTTTGATGACGAGGGAACAGGTTTATCACAGGTAAGCTTTTTTAGTATGGTTGTCAAACAGAAATAAGACAAAATTCTGAGAATTTACATTGAAATTGCAGTGTTGTCTTTTTCCAAAGTAAGAATAATATCCAACATGATTATAAACTACTCTATGCAGCCTAAAATACAATGTGGAAATTCTCCTTTAAAAGGACATGAATTATGACTTGATCACCACTGGCAATCTGAAGATATGATCAGAAATACAATTCTGACTGGACGAAGGTCCATAATGGCAGGCTGTTATATTTTCATGCCCCCTTTTTAAGTTCCTTGATCTGTATGGAAGCTAAATTTAAATACCATTCTCACACACCACTGGTAACCATGCCAAGCCAACCACCGTAGCCTGACCTTTATTCTGAATTCATAAAAATGTAAACACAACATGTACCCTTAGTGAGATGGGACACTAACAAAATTACAAAGTTGCACATTATATTTAAACAGCCCACAAAACTGAAATCTTAGGGTGGTTGGGTGGGTGGGAAGGTCAGTAAATGGTGGACACAACAAAAGCAACTGCCTGCCTTTTGGTCACATGACCTATACCCAGGCCCCTGGTAGTGGCTGAGAAAAGCATTTTCCAGTTAGTTTGTTACACTCAGCCAGTGGAAAATCTTTTTGTATAATGTAGAATCATTATTATTAATTTTTCCCCTCTATTTAGGGTCAGCTTTGCAAACATCCTTGTCCCCCATATGCCTTGTGTTGGGGCTCATCAATTGTAGCAGCAGGATGTGACAAAAGAATTATAGCTTATGGAAAAGAAGGTAAATTGAACAATGTTCTTTTTTTCTGCACTGTTTAAATCTCTTCCCAACCTTCTCTCACAATTTTTTTCATTGTTCATCAGGGAGGATCTTGCAGAACTTTGACTACTCCAGAGATGATGATGAAAAAGAGTTTACTGTGGCAATCTGTAGCCCTAGTGGACAGTCAGTTGTGGTTGGCAGTTATAACAGGTAATTCTTTACCATGAGTGCAGAGGGTACTTCTGGACCCCTCTGGCATGGGTGTGGTTCACCTACTTAACATTTATCTCTTTTTTCAAACAAAAATTTCCCCACAGATTTTCAGAACTTACTTGGTAGTCATTCATCCCTAACCAATAGGTCTTTGTCCCTCGTAACACTTACTTACATAATATGTGTACACAGCATGCACAGAAAGTAGTGTCCGATAGCCCGAGGCTAGTAGATTTTGCTATCAGGTTAGTGAATTCTGTTTTTAACTTGCCCGATGGGCAAGTGACATTTTTTTAGGAATTCGAATAACAGAATAACTGTAATCAATCCTTCTCATCAAATTTTTTTTGGGCCAGTTGAAATGACTTTCGGGCTAGTACATGCTAGCTACAGCTTGCCTGAATGACAAACTGTAAAACTGACTTTCTTTGCACCCTGGTACATGTAGCTTGGAATTAATGTCAGTATTGTTTTTGGCATAATTGCCTCAAACCTATTTCAGTGAATACTTCCCACTTTTGAAATCAAACTTTTTAAACTTACTGTATACTTAGTTAAAAAATTTATAATAGGACTGGTTGGTTTTGAAGTAACATGTTGCTAACTTGAATAAAAATAGCAATAGTGCTTCCAACATAATCTGCAATATCTTAAATAGTTTTCCTTATGAAGTTCACAGGCTTTCATAACCATCTTATTTCTTGTACTGATTAAAATGTACGCTTTGATAGTGATACACATACCTAACCAGTAACAATTCCCCCTTTTTTACAGGCTCAGAGTGTTTAACTGGAGTCCAAGAAAGGGTTCATGGGATGAATCTAGAGCTAAAGAGATTCCTAATCTGTACACTATCACTTCCATGGCATGGAAGAGAGATGGATCCAGACTTGTGGCTGTATGTGCTTGAATTCTTCACAACAATGAGTGTGAGAGTTTCATCAGGGGTTCCAAACACCGAGAAACAGATGAAAGCACGAGGCTATAGGCTGAGTGCTTTTATTGTTTCAAGGTGTTAAAAACCCCTGATGAAACCCAAAGCACGAGTTTTTGATTAGGCTCTCTACGTCTCAAACAAAATGATTTTAGAAGGAAAAATTAAGGATGCAAAAATGAGCAGTTTTTCATCTGATTTCCAAACACTCATTAAACATTAAATTCCTTTGTATTTTCTTTATGACTTATAAAGAGAGTTTGAGAAGTAATATTCCTTCTAACTGCCCAAACATTTGAAAATACCTTGTAGTTGTTTTTTTTTCCCTAATGGCTGTAGCAACTTTTTTTCAGGGCACACTCTGTGGTGGTGTGGAGCTCTTCGATTGTTGCCTAAGACGATCAGTCTACAAGAACAAGTTTGAGATGACCTATGTTGGACTCAGCCAGGTTGGTAGCTATTTATTGTATGTGAAATTACATCTTTTTAGAATGTTATGTTCAACTTAAATAGCTTTTGTTGACTTTTTAATTTATTACCATTTAGAGTGCTTTTTTTGTTTTACATAGACACTGCTCACCTAGACAAGCCTGTGCTATTTGTGGGTTGTGAGAAAATAAAATTGTAAATCTGAATAAACCAATAAAATGATGATGATGATGATGATGATGGCATGCAAAACTGTTTTGATTGTCATTTTATAGTTTTCAAACATGTACAGTGTAGTTGCTTTTTCTTTGAACAGGTTGATTTTTGTATTAGTTATCTATACCTTTGTTTGTTTTTTTTTACAGGTCATTGTGAAGAATTTATCATCAGGAACTCGTGTTGTCCTCAAATCTCATTATGGATATGAGGTAACATCCTCTTCATTGCTATTTTCATAGGAAAAGTTGTTTTGAACAACTCTGATATATGTAAGTATTAAGAACTTAGGGTCTGCTACACAGAGTGAAGGAAGGTTCACGTAGTTGCAAATTCTTGGAATGCTTTAATACACTGTATGGTTATGTGTGTTTTCTCTGACTATAATAATATAGACACTGAGTTGTAAAGAATAAAGTTTGTACTGTCCATTAGGGGTCTTTATTTAGAAATCCTCTACCATTCCAATTTCTATAATTATAGTAGAGATACCTCTGCAGTGTGGACATTTAATCCAGCCCCTTTGTTGTCTGTATTAAGGAGGTTTGAATGCACAATTCCTATCTCTACAACATATCATCATGACTGTTGTCCTGTTATCACTCAGCTGGAAAGGTGTTTGATCGTACACAGCAACTTCCCTGCTATGGAATTTTGCCCATGCATGTAGCATTTAGCTTTGTTAATTTTTTTGCTCATTAATATTCTTATGCCTTTATGTTTTGATTAAGATTGATAAAGTGAGCATTATGGGCAAAGACAGATATCTTGTGGCCTATACGACTGATACACTTTTGGTTGGCGATCTTTCACATAATAAACTCAGTGAGGTAGGTTAGTTTCTGAACATGAGAATATTTGGATTTGTTTTAAAAGAGGATTTTTCCTAAGCTATTTTCTTCTTCTCTATCTAGGTCCCTTGGCAAGGCACTGGTGGAAATGAAAAGTTCTTTTTTGAAAATGAAAACGTATGTACATATTACATGTCCAATCAAGCTATATTTACGGTATCACTTCATGAAAAATGCTCTTCCAGTGAGCTGTTTACATACAAAATCTTCAGCGAAACTACACTAATGCTTAAAATATATCTATATATTAAGAAAATCTATCCTATAATTAATTACACAAAAGTCAATCAACCTTGAATGTACATTATATAACTAACATAAGTTCTCTCTCAACTCCCTCAAGGCAATCCCTGGTTCAAGGTAAAGACAGGGCAGACTTGAAAGAGTTGAGATTTATCTCATCTTTAAGCACATTTTCTAGGCTATTCCACATGACTGCCCCCCTATATCTGAAAGCCTGTTTAGCAGCTTCAGCGGTCCACAGGATATTGGGTGCAAATCTGTCAATCCGTACAAAAGAGAGTCAGTTTGACCTTTGATTGATTTTTGCCAGTCATTTTATGCTGAGACCATTATACTCTAAGTGCCAACTTGAGAATATAAAAAGTGCTTCTTGGGCAAACAAATTACAATTACTGTGGATTGATTTACATTTCAATTTATTACAAGTGCCTTAAGCCATTTCAATGCTGCTTCAAGTTGGGCACCATTGAACAGAAAAAGATGTTATTCCTCTGTGTTACACAAAACAATGACCTAAAATAGAACAGTTGATTGCTGCAATTCTGCAAGCTCACAGAGCATGAAGCAAAAAAAAAAACAAGCTTCATTTAAGAGATCAGTTAACTTTTCTCTCAATTTGTTTCTTAAGCAGCCCAGGCTTGAAGTACCTTTAACAGCTGGTCAACGGACAATGTCCAGTCAAAGTAGGAATTGATGAGACAATTTTTCTGCTGAAAGAAAATTTAATTCAGAGCTTCTATAGAAATGATATGTAACACTAATATGATGTAACACAGATTTGTCTTGCCAAAAACAATATAGACAGGGAGCAAAAAATAGGTTTGACCTGTTAACATGACCAGCTGCAAAATTGGGATCATTATACGTTTCTGGGAAACTGCCCACCTACCCCTCCCCTAAGCCAACATTTTGCCCTAAGTGAGAAGTAAGTGTCAATGTTGGCTTAGGGGAGGGGTAGGTGGGCAGTTTCCCAGAAATGTATAATGATCACAAAATTGTTTCGAGCTCTCTTTTAGTTCCACATGTAGTTGCTTTCTTTTTTCAGCATTGTTAGATTTTTCACCTGCTGTTCTTTAATAGTTGCTTGACTGTTCAAGAACAATAAAACAAGAAAAAAAAGCGGAGACTTCATTCATTTAAGTTCATGTATTGAAAATTTCAATCATTCTACGTTTCTGGAAATTTGCCCACCTACCCCTCCCCTAAGCCAACTTTTTGCCCTAAGTGAGAAGTAAGTGTTAATGTTGGCTTCGGGGATAGTAGGTAATGCTCCGATTTCCATGCTTGTTCTAGGTATGTATGGTATTCAATGCAGGAGAGCTGTCACTGGTTGAATATGGAAACAATGAAATTCTTGGAACTGTGAGAACTGAGTTCATGAACCCACACTTGATTAGGTATGCCTGACTACACATTACAAAACTTAAAGTTTAAACTGGGGTTTCAATAAAAATTGAAGTAGCCTGCAGGTTTGAATAGAGTAACTGACTGTATCAACAAGGGGCCAGTAGTCCTCATTTTCAAGAGGTGTCTGAGGGCCAGTTTTCCATTCAAGAAGATTTGGGCTTAAGGCAAACTTATCAGCCACACAATTAACTCCTACAAGCAATGAACAAATGGTAATATTACTAAGTTACGTACATTTTCTGGTAAATAAATTCTACTTTTGTCCATAACATTATTCGAACTAGTTGCTTCTTCTTTGGAGAAAAAAGTAGCCGCCTTCTTTGAGCAATGTAGCTGACTCGTTTCATCAGTCGTCGATGCTTATTGAAACCCATGGGAAATGCACATCACTAGGGACGTATGTTTCCTGGGTAGGGGAACACTTATCCCTAATGATGTGTGTTTTCCTAGCAGGATAACACATATCACTAGGGATATTTGTTTCCTGAATAGGGAAGCAGATATCACTGGGGATATGTATTTCCTAGGTAGGGGAAATACACGTATAACCAGGGATATGTGTTTCCTGGGTAGGGGAACACATATCACCACAGATACATGTATGTGTTTCCTGGGTAGGGAAACACATATCACTGGGTATAAGAGGTTTGAACTTGAAATCCGTAAAACAGTGCTCAATACATAAAGTAGAGCGAGTATACGTATGGTTGACGGAAGAAAACAAGTAACTACATAAGTATCCCTACAAGCCTGTTTCGTGGTTGCCCACTCATCAGGGGATTTTAATGAGAATAACTTTACCATTACTTATATACTAGACTGATTTACATAATTTATTCAGTGCGAGGTTCGTTACATCAGTTGTTGCGCAAGAGGGCTTTGTTTCTGTGGCGGCAGGAGGACACGAGTTCATTACGTTTGTTAAGTGTAGAGAGTTCAGGTCGGCAGATGATAAGGAATTTTTCTTTAAGACATAAGTTGCATCGTTTGCTTGAGCTGTTGTACGGCAGGTGTGAAGATAGAATGCGCCAGGCGATAGAGTAGTTGATGTTGTTTTCTTTAAGAGTCCAGACGTGTTTGCTGAGTTCAGTGGAGTTTCTGTGCCTTCAGCCTGCTGTCATCTACCAAGCTACTGTCACACGAAAAGACACCAACACGACAGAAACGTACATCGGGCTTACTGCGAACGACTTCAAAACAAGATACAGCAACCACATGTCATCATTCCGTCACGCAAAGAACAGAAACTCCACTCAACTCAGCAAACACGTCTGGACTCTTAAAGAAAACAACATCAACTACTCTATCGCCTGGCGCATTCTATCTTCACACCTGCCGTACAACAGCTCAAGCAAACGATGCAACTTATGTCTTAAAGAAAAATTCCTTATCATCTGCCGACCTGAACTCTCTACACTTAACAAACGTAATGAACTCGTGTCTTCCTGCCGCCACAGAAACAAAGCCCTCTTGCGCAACAACTGATGTAACGAACCTCGCACTGAATAAATTATGTAAATCAGTCTAGTATATAAGTAATGGTAAAGTTATTCTCATTAAAATCCCCTGATGAGTGGGCAACCACGAAACAGGCTTGTAGGGATACTTATGTAGTTACTTGTTTTCTTCCGTCAACCATACGTATCACTAGGTATATGTGTTTCTTGGGTAGGGGAACACATCACTAGGGATGTGTTTCCCAGGTTGGAGAACATATCAGTAGGGATATGTGTTTCCTGGGTAGGGGAACAGATCACTAGGGGTATGTATTTCCCGGTAGGGGAACACATCACTAGGGATATGTGTTTCGTGGTTAGGAGAACACAAATCATTAGGGATATGTATTTCATCGGCAGGGGAACACATATCACTAGGGTATTTGTTTCCTTGGTAGGGGATATGTGTTTTCTGGATAGGGGAGTACATATCACTAGGGATATGTGTTTCCCGGGTAGGGGAACAGATCAATAGGGGTATGTATTTCCCGGGTAGGGGAACACATCACTAGGGATATGTGTTTCCTGGTTAGGGGAACACAAATCATTAGGGATATGTATTTCGTCAGCAGGGGAACACATATCACTAGGGTATGTGTTTCCTTGGTAGGGGATATGTGTTTTCTGAATAGGGGAACACTATTCACTAGGGATATGTGTTTGCCGGGTAGGGGACGTTTACAGGAAAGTATCTTCCTGAAAAGGTCAAATCTGTTAACTTTTCTTACTTACTTACTACAACTGTAATATTTCTTTACTATAAATAGTACATGTAAACCCTTGTCTTCTGGTACCGTCTTTATTTTGTCGTGCAATAAATTGTGCTAGGGTTGGAGAAGATCATACAATATGCCTGTCGACAAAAATTATAAGAAACAAAACATTTCCGACACTTTTTTGTTGCCTAGATATCTAAGTAACATTGATTCCTTAACATTCTAGGTCAATCAACCAAATTTCCTTCGTGGTTTAGCTTTTGAGAGCTGATTTGAATGCTCGCATTTAAAATCATAACAAAAATGACAGTGCAAGTGTCTTAAAAAATGGTTGGTTTATTTTAAGTAGTCAGTTTGATAAGCATAAATTGATGTGGGGTTTTAGGTATCTGTAGTTTAATTTAAACATGTTACACGTAAATCAATAGCACCTCCGGCCCTCTTTATGTGGAGAAAAGTGATCGCGGGAAAGACTGACACTCTTCCAGCCGAGTTTATTATAGAATAGCATAACAGAAAAAAGTAGGTAACGTCTGCAAGGCAGCGGTGATATCCTCTGACTCGTCCCCAGTCGTCTTTCATTATTAGTATTTGTAGTAATAATTAACGAGTAGAGACAACTTGGAGACGACTGGGGACGAGTCAGGTGATATCCTTGTTCTGGGCTCCCAAGGGACTCAGCAAATTACCGAAAATACGTTTCCAGTTTCCCATCATCCTGATTGGCCAATTGACCTGGTACACAGGTGGGGGCCCAGACTGAGAATGAGGATTTTGGCTTTGTTTCGCACACGGACGTAACCAGAAGTTTAGTTCTATCTGTGGCACAGGATATGGATAACTTGGGAAGTCGAGTGATCGTTCTACCCTGGTCGAGTTTTTTCCTTTAAAGGGGGTCTTAGGAGCTTGACTAAAACACCACATGAGTACACACTAACGGGTAGCATACGAGTAACATTCGGATACATACGGGTATTTTCGAATACATTCGGGTAACTTAAGGGTAACATACAAACTCGTATGTTACCCGTATGTACCCTTGAAGTGTTTTAGTCAAGATGGGGCCTTAGACACCCCTGGAGGTATCCTGTAGCCCTATCTAGGAGCACTGGTTTCTCTAAATGACCGCTACGTAGGAGGTGAGATGACGTTAAATTGCAATACTGGACGATGATGCGGTTATGCAAATGAAGCAATTTATTACTTACTTAAATTATGACTCTAAAGAGGTGTGTTCGGTTAACTTATGCAATATTAAAATGGTTTTGCTCATTATGCACGGTAACAATCTCTGCTTCTTTGTTTCTGAAGTGTTCGCCTCAATGAAAGGAAGCAAAGAGGTATTGAAGATAACAAAAAGATGGCTTACCTAGTTGATTTGAAGACCATCACTGTTGGTGAGTTATCGAAAAACAAGATTTATTTCAGAGCATTCCTCATCTAATTAAAACATAAGCGTGGTCATTCGAGATAACTTGATATTGAGCCAAGTAATTTTTTTGGGAGGGTTCATAGATTTATTCTACTAAATTGTAATTTCTTAGTGTTGCGGACCAGTGCAATCACCAAATGACGTAATACAAAAGATTGGAAAGACAATGAACAATACCCACACTAAAACACAAAAGCGAACCAATAATGGTTCCGCTACACTAAGAAACATCACTAAATTGTTTTCATATGATGAGATTTTTCGATGTCACATTTTCATAGAATTATTCCTACTAAATTGTAATTTCTTGGTGATGAGGACGGATGCAATCACCAAATGACGTAATACAAAAGGTTGAATAGACATCGAACAATACCCACACCACAACGGAAAAGCGAACCAACAATGGTTCCGCCACACCAAGAAATACCCCTAAATTGTTTCATTCATTTATTCTTTCATGCTTCATGTTTTTGTCTTTCGTTTACTGACGCTAGGAACTACGATAATAACTTTTCTGTTTTACGTTTTTTCAGTTGATCTGGTCAGCGGATTCAACGTTGCAACAGTAAATCATGATTCAAGGATTGACTGGCTTGAGGTGAGACACTGGCTCATCCCCATTCCTATTTATCTATTAAGATGCGAGAATCGCACGCGAGGAACGAAACGCGGGAAGCGTGACCAAGAGGAGCGCGAAGGGTGATCGGAAGAAGGAAAGCGAAAGACAGATTCGCCCCTCTTTTCTCTTTCCCATCGCCACTCCTGCTCCCCTTGATCGCGCTTTCCTTGACCGCGCTTCCCTCGTTAATAGTAGTGAACTCACGCAACAAGACGGAAGAGAAAAGAAGACGGCAAACCTTGTGTGACAATCGTGACAATAATTTTGTTTGAAAAAACATGTCGCCAAACTACACCTTTCTTTGAACAGATCGTTTTGTAAAAGACGAGAAACAGTAATGTTAAGGGAAGACCACGACAAAAGTCCCAAGTAATAGCCCTGTCACGTTTGTCACACACAAGCGTTTTGCCGTCCTCTTCTTCCTGCCTTCCTGTTGCGTAAACTCACTAGTGTGTTTACACAACAGGACAACAGAAAGTAGAGGACAGCAAAACATTTGAGTGTGACACAAACGTGACAGGGCTTAACATGTATGTTTTCTGGTCTTTTACGAAAAGATCTCTTCAAAGGAGGTTGAATTTTGGCTGAATTCAAAGACAGTTGTCTCGCTTTCCCAGTTTCACGCAAAGTTTGCCGTCTTCTTTCTTCTACTGTCCTGTTTACTGAGTTCACTTATATAAATAGGAGTCTGAGACACGATTAGGTACTAGTCAGGGTGAGACAAGGATGAATATTTTACATTTGTTTACATTTATTTAAGATTTCTGTGTACTGTCTATTCCTCCAGGCAGCTGTGATTATGTGCATCTTTATAATTAACATATTGGGTAATACTCTCTATGTAGTTAAATGGGCAGTTAAATGAGGCGGACAAATAAGAAAAAAATTCTGCCTTTTTTATTTAGCTCAGTGAAACCGGAAAAACGCTTCTGTTTCGGGACAAGAAATTAAGGGTAAGTTTTCTAATTTAGTGCGCCCTGTTGTTACTTGATATGTTTTTCGGGATCCGGGATTGGTCTTAGTAGAAAGGTGAAGCGAGATTCGAGACGGGATACGGGATTACAGTTATGAACAGGATGCGGGATTTGTCGACTTTACGATGCAGGATTCGGAAATTGTTGCTCAAAAGAACTGATATCCTGTATGGAAAGTCAGCTACATTTTCTAAAATGTAACAAAAAACTGCTCTCATTTTAACTGACCAGAAATGCGCACATTTTTCCTTTACCCTGTCATGTGCCAATTTTGGGCCACACCCGCCCCAATCTCCTCGCGGTTTCTCTGCCCTCGCCCGCCTTTATTACTTTGCACACCCAACCAAAACCGCTATGCTACGCAGGCTACGTCAAAAGATTTTTTTCGGCAAATGATTCAATAAGTTACATCGAAAATGTGCAGTAGGCTTTATAAAAGAGCTATTTAAACATACGAATCTTGTGGTATCAAATTGATAAAATATATCATACTGATAAAAATATATACTGATAAAAAATGGCCATGTCGGTAAGAAATAAAAGCATATTAACAAACAAATGAGAAACGATGATTTTGAAACCGACTGCTGGATAGGTACTGCTGTTCGTGTTGTTTATTCAAGTTTGTAGGTTGAATGAAATCATAGACAACAAACGTTTGAAACGTTGAAGACAGTGAAGCGAAATTCAATGAAAGTAATAGAATCGAACTCATACAGCAAAAATGGAAAAGTTAACTACAAACGGAGCAAAAACGTTGAATAAACATGAGTGCATAAAATCAAGATTACAATACTTACAGCATAGATTAAAACTGGTTAAAACGACATTAAGAGCCGCCTGTTTTGCATTACTTAAGCGGTTTTCCCGACTGATTGGCCTGATTCTCCCTTCCGTTATTTTGACTGAGTAATAAAATTCACTTTCTCCTTGCTAAGAGCCCATTTTTTAACGGAAACCTCTTACGATATCACAGCTTTCGCTCATTCACAAATAGACTTTCAAAAAAGTCCTTCGCCAGATTTCATGTGGCGCGGGACGCTCCGTTCGCCAAGAGGTCGACTTATAGCAAGTCTAATTCACAAATAACAAACAAACTTGTGGATGAACCCGTTACCGTGACCGCTGGGAGAGTTAGGAAAATCCGGACCGCGCGAAGAAGCAATCAGATTGCAGGATTTCTTTGCAAGTTTATTGTTTGAAGAAAATTACCGATTTTAAACGAGAGCTGGGCCTTTAGTGTTGGCTAAGTGTAGAGATTATGCCTTATGATGCCCTTCAAGTGTCCTCATCAACAAAACTTCATGTTTTGGTCAGATATGAAACATGAAATTGGCAGACAACCCAATCAGATATGAAGTAAACCAACGTTTTTCCCGCGAAATGACGTCTGAGGGATGATACTGATGATACCAATCAGAAGTTTGGTCCCAGATGTGGGTATTGGCACATCATTAGTTTGGATTTTTGTGGAGAACCCTGTACCTGAGATGTCCCATGCAAGCCGTCTATGGGGGTCTCAGTTCGGTTGTTTGGGATCTCGGATTTGCCTTATTCGATGGCTGGGATCCGGATTTTTGCGGAAGAAGAGAGAAATAATAGAATTGTAATTATGAACGGGATGATTCGGGATTCTGCCCTATCAGGTGGCAATTTAGACCACACCCCGACCATTTTTTTTCCCTCTAACTACCACTGGTTCTCTGGAGATTAAGGAATTTGGAATCTCTACGACGCACCTTTTAGAACGTACGTTTGGGATCGGAATATGTAAATAAGAACCGTAACATGGTACTCCCGTTAAACTAAACTCAAAAATAACGAAATTAATTCACTGGCGTATTGATTTGTTCAGCAAAATGCGTTTATCAGCTGCTTCAAATTATTTGAATTTTCATATTTTCGATAGTACCATTTCATATACTGTTTAAAAAACGAGCAGGAGTATATTATCGGGTTTGAAGGCGAAGCCGAGAGTTGACACACCTGTTAAAACATTACTGCGACGTTTTTGAACGGCTTCAAAGTCTCTGATATAGATTAACTCATTCTTGATCTAATATTTACATTTGAAGTTATATTGGTCTAAAAAATTTAAAGACGTAAAGTTTAGCCGGGTCTTTATAAGATACAAAGGCAGTTATTAAACTCTAATTTCTTTTATTTTCTTTATTAATTATTCATGAGTTTTTGAATTTGTGACAAGTAATATATCAAACATGAGACGCAGTGTTTCATGAAACACCGAGAAGAGAGTTGAAAATACGACGCGCAGCGGAGTATTTTTGACGAACTTCGAGGTGTTTCATCTGGTGATGAAACACTGTGTCGAATGTTTGATATTTCTTCTCAAACAAAATCATTTTTGAAGGAGAAATTAAGGATGCAAATACTGAGCAGTTTTTCATCCGATTTCCAAACACTCATTAAACATTAATTTTCTTTGTATTTTCTTTATGAATTATTAATGAGTTTGAGAATTGCTTGTCAAAAATTAAGTGATTCTTATCACTAAGTTTGGAGATACTTGAATCTGAATTTTCTTTATACTAACACTGAGCGTTTTTTAGCGTTGTATTTTCTCACTAGGAAGGTATATGATCTACATCAGTTAGGCTTTAATAGTCTGTCAACCAATTGATTGGTTAGTCTTATTTATTACGGAACTACTTAATTTTCTTTCTATTTGCTGTAAATTGCTTCCTCTAAAACTGAACCGCACTTTCACGCGCTGCATACAGCATCTGGTTATCATGAATATGTGATGTCACCAACTTGCTTCTATATATTCTTTCAAAAATTGTCTTCTCGTTAGTAAGTTTGGAAACAGTTGAGTCTGAATTTTATATACTCGCTTTAGATTGCTTCATTTAAAATCTTCGGCTCGTTTTTACTGTCTCTACCAAGAAACAAGTCAGGAGACTTAACGTAGCTGAAATTGGCGATCAGAAAGATTGGTGCCAACTGTAATGTCTTAGAACGACGTTGCCGACTACTTCATCCTGTGTTTGGAAAACACACCTTCTTTATCATGAACAGAACATACAGTAACTGCTTTTTCTTTGAAGACAACCTTTTGCACTTTGACTCAACGGAGACAGTTTTCATCATAAGGATTTTATCTTGTGTCGTCAATTGTTTATTTTCTCTGATGTCAAGTTTGGGAAACCTTCTTATTTTAATCGTGATTAGAAAAACCCAAGATCTTCATTTGCCGTCTTTCGTTCTTGTGGGTAGTTTGGCAGCCTCAGATCTCCTTGTTGGCTTGATATGTCAACCTTTGCTAGTTGCACTGAACATAGCCGAACTTAAAAAGAATTTCAACGTCTTCTGCTATTGTAGAATGCTTCTATTTGTAACAGGCTGGACGACAGGTGGCGTTTCTCTTTTGATCTTAACTGCAATTTCCGTGGACCGTCTTCTTGCGTTAACTCTCCATTTGCAATACAACACGACTGTCACAGTTGCTCGCGTATTCCAAACCACTTTTGTTTTCTGGAGCTTTTGCGTTTTTATTAATGTTACAAGGTTTTGGATGACAACCAAGTGGTATTTCATCCCATTGGCTGTTTTCCTTCTTTCTTTTGTCGTCATAACCGTCTGTACGTTAAATATATTTAAAATTGTTCGAAGGCACCAACGCCAGATAAACTGTCAAACTTTGGCTGTCATCCGCCTTCAAACCAACACAGTGAACATACTCAAATGCAGAAAATCTGCTGTGACAGTACTTTATATTTACGCTTTGTTTTTAATTGTCTACCTTCCCTTCATTACATTGACGGTTATGGAATTGCTGATCGGAATGACCAGAGCATTAGCAACTGCTTCAATCTATGCTGCTACTGTCGTTTTTATAAACTCTTTTCTTAATCCGTTTGTGTATTGCTGGAGAAGTAGAGAAATACGAAGAGCTGTAAAAAATATCCTGAAAAGACAGATGGCACAAAAATGATGGCCATCACAGCTAATCACAAAATGTCCTCATAATTTACCTCTAATACGTTCAAAATATGTAGTAACACGAAAATGACAAACATCCCTTGCAAATATAAAGTACTTTTAAAGCAATACTTATTCTCAGTCCTGGACATAAGTGAAAATTAATAGCTCAGCATTAGGCCACCTGCGTTACTTAATTTTTTTCTTTTTAGCCAACAAGACCGCACTTTACAACAGAAGACTTAAAAATATTCCTTATTAGTGTATGAAGCAGTAAATAATCTAAAACCAGTTGCAAAAATAGGGAGCTTAGGCAACAACGACGGCGACTTCTACGAAAACGTCACTTAAAAATTATTGCGTTCGCGCTGCTTCAAACTTACCGCGCTTATTCCATGTTGTTCATTTTGTCAAATCTTAGCGAATTTTTGAGGAGTTGAATTCTAAAGGACTCCATCAATAATCAGAAAAAGAGAAAAAGGGTCGTTGTCCTTTGTTCACGTCCTCCACAAAACGTGAAATTTGTCAGTTTCACGTCGTAGTCGTGCAACGACGGCGTAGAAATGTACAAAAAATTGTGATGCGCGTGCAAAGTTGTTGTTTTGCTAATCAAACCTATTGCTTTTTTGCCCTTCTCGTTGCCGTCGCCGTCGTCGTTGCTTCAGAGTTATTTAAGTATACCTAAATGACAAGAGTAAGCTAAGTATAAGTAATAAGGTTAATAGGTATAATTATCAATCAACAATATCAAATTAATTTAGGGTATCTAATTATTGATTCAAATTAATAGTTGAAGAAAAAGAAAATTCTAGTTAATAGTCTAAAAATTAAGTAGGAAAAGAGCCTGAAAAATCACACACACACACACACACACACAAAAGGAAAACTAGGCTATACGAGAAATTATTAATCAACAGTATGGAAATAGTTAGGACAGATTAGCTTGTTGAACTAAAAAATCTATGGAAGTTCTTTCTAAAGATGTGTTTTGAAGATTCGTCTTTGAGTTCAGAGGGAAGGGTATTCCAAACATTTGTGCCTTGATATGTTATGGTAAATTTCCAAATTATGAACGGGATGTGCGATTTAGCGAGTTTACGATGCAGGATTCGGGATTCTACCCTATCACGTGGCAATTTTGACCACACCCCGACCATTTTTATTCCTCTATGTACCACTGGTTCTCTGGAGATAAAGGAATCTGGAATCTCTACAACGCACCTTTTAGAACGTACGTTTGGAATCGGAATACGTAAATAATAACCTTAACATGGTACTGGCGTTAAACTAAACTCAAAAATAACAAAATTAATTCGTTGGCTTATTGACTTGTTCAGCAACATGCGTTTATCAGCTGCTTCAAATAATTTGAATTTTCATATTTTCGATAGTACCATTTCATATACTGTTTAAAAAACGAGCAGGAGTATATTATCGGGTTTAAAGGCGAAGCCGAGAGTTTTCACACCTGTTAAAACATTACTGCGAGGTTTTTGAACGGCTTCAAAATATCTGATATAGATGACTCATTTATTTACATGTGAGGTTATATTGGTCTGAAAAATTGGACGTAAAGTTTAGGCGGGTCTTTACAAGATACAAAGGCACTTATTAAACTCTAATTTCTTTTGTTTTCGTTATTAATTATTCATGAGTTTTTGAATTTCTGACAATGGTTTATCAAAAATTAAGTGATTCTTATTACTAAGTTTGGAGATACTTGAATCTGAATTTTCTTTATACTAACACTGAGCGTTTTTTAGCGTTGTATTTTCTTACAGGGAAGTAAAATGATCTACATCAATTAGGCTTTAATAGTCTGTCAACCAATTGATTGGTTAGTATTAACGGAAGCGCTTAATTTTTTTTGGTATTTGCTGTAAATTGCTTCCTCTAAAACTGAGCCGCACTTTCACGCGCTGCATACAGCATCTGGTTATCATGAATACGTGATGTCACCAATTTGCTTCTATATATTCTTTCAAAAATTGAACGCTTCTCGTTAGTAAGTTTGGAAACAATTGAGTCTGAATTTTATTTATGCTCGCTTTCGATTACTTCATTTAAAATCTTCAGCTCGTTTTTACTTCCTGTACCAAGAAACAAGTCAGGAGACGACGTTGCCGACAACTTCATCCTGTGTTTGGAAAACACACCTTCTTTATCATGAACAGAACATACAGTAACTGCTTTTTCTTTGAAGACAACCTTTTGCACTTTGACTCAAGGGAGACAGTTTTCATCACAAGGATTTTATCTTGTGTCGTCAATTGTTTATTTTCTCTGATGTCAAGTTTGGGAAACCTTCTTATTTTAGTCGTAATTAGAAAAACCCAAGATCTCCATTTGCCATCTTTCGTTCTTGTGGGTAGTTTGGCAGCCTCAGATCTCCTTGTTGGCTTGCTATGTCAACCTTTGCTAGTTGCAAAGTACATAGCCGAACTGAAAAAGAATTTCAACGTCTCCTGCTATTGTAGAATGCTTTTGTTTATAACAGGCTGGACGACAGCTGGCGTTTCTCTTTTGATCTTAACTGCAATTTCCGTGGACCGTCTTCTTGCGTTAACTCTTCATTTGAAATACAACACGACTGTCACAGTTGCTCGCGTATTCCAAACCACTTTTATTTTCTGGAGCTTTTGCGTTTTTATTAATGTTACAAGGTTTTGGATGACAACCAAGTGGTATTTCATCCCATTGGCTGTTTTCCGTCTTTCTTTTGTCGTCGTAACCGTCTGTACGTTAAATATTTTTAAAATTGTTCGAAGGCACCAACGCCAGATAAACAGTCAAACTTTGGCTGTCATCCGCCTTCAAACCAACACAGTGAACATACTCAAATGCAGAAAATCTGCTGTGACAGTACTTTACATTTACGCTTTGTCTTTAATTGTCTACCTTCCCTTCATTACATTGACGATTATGGAATTGCTGATCGGAATGACCAGAGCATTAGCAACTGCTTCAATCTATGCTGCTACTGTCGTTTTTATAAACTCTTTTCTTAATCCGTTTGTGTATTGCTGGAGAAGTAGAGAAATACGAAGAGCTGTAAAAAATATCCTGAAAAGACAGATGGCACAAAATTGATCTGCCGTTTTTGAAGGCCCGATACAGTATTTTGCTGGTCAGCGGCATCGCCTTTTAACTTTCAAAACACCGGTAACTTTGAATTGGTTTTCAACGCGAGCCTGGTAGGCGATAAAAAAACCCAAAACTTAGAGCGAAAACAGAAAACTTAATTTTTAAACTTCGCCTCTCGTTTCCTTCTTCCTTTTCACACATTATATATTGTGCCAAAGACAAACTGTGCTTGCACAGCGAGTGAATTTTTTTGAAAGTATGCGGCGCGATAGTCTTCGTGACACGATGATCGATGTTGTGTGGAAAGGCCAAAAACAATCATATTTCCAAAGGCTGTAGCGGTGCCCTGTTAAAGACATACCAACCTTCAAGTATGCAGAGCTGGTGAGCTGGAGCCGTTTGAAATGGTTTGCGAGCGTCACTTCGATTTGATATAAAGACAAAACGACCGCAGGTGTTCTTGCCCTTCAACTTGGTGACACACTGCGAAGTTGCACGTTCATACCATCCCGTGCAAGTTATTTCAAACTCTATATAAAGCTGGTGCTTTGCTGCCGAATTACACGTTGGTGTAATAAGTGCCGAAATGAAGCGCCAAAGATGTCAAACAACTGGCCAAAAGTGAGAAAAAAACCGAAAAGATCGCGACAAAAAAGCGTAAACAAGATCACACGGATGTAAGTTTTCGAATGACCATTTTTTGTTTGATGTTGTACTGAGAGAAATCTGTAATGAAACCTCAATTCTGGTTTATGTATGAAGGATAAGTATTTCAATGCATTATTTTTTCTTTTCAGGAATTCTTTTTTCTATAATATTAATATTACAAAGTTTGAAAATTATTTACAAACTTGTTTTGAAATTCTTTTTGTGTTATCAAAGCTTAAAATAATTATCTAAAAGGCCAAATAAAAGAACATGAGGACAAGCCAAAGGGAAGAAGGTGGGGAAAAGGTTTTGATGTCCTTTCACACTGAAGTAACAAGGCAGAATGACACATAACTCTGCGTCCACATGTGATCAACAATGCGCTCTGTAGGGGGGGTACAAAGGGTGGGGGGTACAAAGGATTGCCCCCAACCACTCACCATGTCATGTTACGAAATTGTAGTTATTTTTGGTCAGTGCCCCAAGTACAGTTTTGTTCGACGAGGACGTCGAAATTTTTTAAGGTGGGCGGAATGTAAGGAGAGATTTTTCATGAATTCTTTATTTGCCTCGAATTTCTTATATAGCTTTCAAATGTTCGCTTTGACGTTGTTTTCAGTAATTCATACTGAATTCGCATAAAGAGGTTTTCGCTCCGCAAAAAGGCTTATGCCATTTTATTGTACTTGTTTGATTACTTAGTGTTCGTTAACGCAATAATGCTAGAAAAACCCAACAGTGTGTACAGCTGTCAAAACTATTTGCCACTGACTCTTTTCAACTGGACACGTTTAACTTCAATTGTTGACTTTTAGAAAAAAATCATTAGTTTTCAGAATAATGGCTATTAACTTTAGTTTATCTTTTAATTTAAGCTTTCTTTTTATTCTGCACGACATCCGTTAACATTAGCACCTTTTTACAGATGTGCCTCGCTTTAATTGCATTTTACCCTTATGTATTTGCGAATATAACGTTCATTAGTCTGTTGGTTAAATAGTGGCAACAGCTGCGTTTGGGATATGAACGGTTTTGCTGACTTGCAAATTCGAAATATATTTGCTTTGCTTTAAAACTAGGAAACTAATAATTAGTCCGCGTTTCTTCCTGTTTGCACAGACGCTAGCTGGCCTTGCAATTTTGTACATAAATGCTGTTTTGCTGACGTAGCAAACGTAGCTAGCTTTTGTTCCAGTACTTTTACTTTTTAAAAATAGCAACACTAACGATCTATAACCACCTCTTTTGTTTGATTTTCTTTTACTTCTAAATGATCTCTGTTTACACATCTATTGTACTCTTTTGTTTTCAATGGTTATTGAAATCATATATAAGTAAGTTGCTTTGAACTGGTTTTTCGCTTACATCGCCGACTACATTAATTTGTGAGCTAAGTTACGTTACGTGTGCAACAATAAACGCTGTTGGAACCAAGTTCAGTTTGCCTTTGCTGTAGCAGTTAGTGGTTTGATCCCGGACCTCAAGAGAAGTGACGGCTCTTTCCCGCACTGGCAAGCGAGTTGCAATTGAGTCTAGTTTCCCCCCGGTTAACCGATAGTTAAAGCGCCGAGTTCCCGTTGAGTGTTCTAATCGTTCGAAAGTGGAAAAACCTTCCGTTACATTTTGTTTACGTCCTCCACAAAACGTGAAATTCATAGTCGTGCAACTATGGCGTAGAAATGTACAAAAAAGCGTGATGCACGTGCAAAGTTGTTGTTTTGCTAATCAAACCTATTGCTTTTTTGCCCTTCTCGTTGCCGTCGCCGTCGTCGTTGCTTAAGTTTCTTTATGGTGAGACACTCCGACGAAAACATCGACCTTTCTTACTTCAAATCGCTGCTAGTTAAACGTTTGTGAGATAGAATACTTACCTCCCTCCTCCCCTCCATTCATAGTTGTTACCCCAAGTATCAAGACTTTGCTGGTATGCAGGATTAGTTGGCAAAACAACGATCGAACAAAGTTAGCAATGAAACCTAGCTCCAAAACAAAAGAGCTGTGACATAAATGGGGTTCAATGAAATTAGAGGTTATAAAGAAGTTCGAGGCTTTCCTAGCCGGATGTTTGATGCAATTACGAGGGTACTATGCGAGTTAACCAAAGTGGTAGGCAAATTGATTAGTTAAAAAAAGTAAGGTCCGGCCTTTCTCCACGCAATATATAACATGCGTTTTTGTCCAAGCGTGAGGGCAAGATGGACGGAAATTAGGGAGCTTGACCCTTTAAGGCCCAAAGGTGACCAACATCAATTTTCTTCCAACAATATCCATACCTTGTCAAGAGATAAGGTTATGAGAATTAATCAAAATGATCACTAAAGAGAAAATGCTTTGATCTTCTATCAAATTCTCTCAACTACTTCTTTAAAGAAATGCATAGAGATCAGTTTGGAGAATTGGTATGTGGATATTGGGACTTAAGGGGTGAAGCAAAGACGTTTTTGAGCGACGCACGTCAACCGGAAGTGGACTTTTTACATTTTTGGGCAGTGTTTTTGCCCAAATTTGCGGGCAAATCGTCGTTATAAGGGTGAAGAAACTTAGCAATACAAATTTGGTAGCGTCAAGGCAAATTTAAAGGGAAAAGGCGTCATTTCCGGTTGAGGTGCGTCGTTTAAGCTCCCTATTGGCCAGGCCTGTTTCTGTGTTTTTATGGACAAAGACGAGGAAGAAAAAAAAGGGAACAATATCCAGCCATCTTGACCGAGCAAACCTGGTCAATGAAGGATTTATTGTACGACCGAGAGAACGTTTTCTTCCGGGACCAAAGCGGAAAAAGAACCTCGTTCTTTGGTTCGTTTCCTAGTAGGTGAAGAGCCCGGGAACGTACCCTGGTCCCAGAGGTTTTTCTTGAAATTTTTCTTCGCGAAAGAGACCGCGAGCAGAGAAGCGGCGAAGAGAGAGAGAAAAACGTTTTTCTCTCAGTCTTCGCCGCTTCGCGACTCGTTGTCGCCGCTTCGCTGCTCGCTCTCTCTTTCACGAAGAAAAATTTCAAGAAAAACCTTTGGGACCAGGGTACTGGGAACGAGGTTGAGCGGGAAATTTCCAGCGGACAAGACAGGCCCTTTCTCGCTTGGCAGCCAATCAGAACTCAGAATTCGCTTCACCTTGCTATCTCGCGGAACCAGCCATTTAGTATACAAATTATACGTTTTACAGCTGTCCAGGATTAAATTTGATCTGTAAATCTCTCTTCACATGTCCTTTTGTTTTAGCTCCATCTGCTAGATGTGGATTCACAAGTCCGTACAACAATTCTGAACTACTGTACATATGTACAGTGGGTTCCACTCAGTGATGTGGTCGTGGCACAGAACAGAGGCAATTTGTGTGTTTGGTATAATATCGACTCACCTGAAAGAGTTACCATGTTTCCTATCAAGGTAGGCAGTGCAAAGTTAATTGTATCTCTTAGTCGATTCGGTTCACTGTTTCATATTTAAGATAAATTTATGTGAAAGCTTTGAATATGTTTTTCTAGGGAGATATCGTTGATCTTGAGAGGGCGGATGGGAAGACAGAAGTTCTTGTGAATGAAGGGGTCACTACTATATCATACACTTTGGATGAAGGCTTGATTGAGTTTGGTACAGCTGTTGATGATGGTGACTTTCCAAGGTTGGTCACTCATATTTTATAGCCTCCGAACAAGCTCTCCATTTAAGGGAGTCGCGAGAAGTCACGCGAGAGCAGCACGCGAAAGGAGACGCGAGTTCGCGTCCTCTCGCGGCTCGCCTCGCTGGCCATAAATGACCAGGCCTCGTACTCCCATAGCAAATTACACCCCTCCCTCTTTTTTTCCCATATGCTTATTGTTAACATCCCAGGGAAAAGGGTGCTGAGATATCAATAGAATGAATCGATTATCCAAGATTCAGCTATATCATTGCAAGCGACCAGAGCAGCCCGCAAGCCTAATCTCCAGGTCACAGTTACCCATGCGCGGCACGTATGTAGCCGTGTGGACTTACACTAAGAATGAATGGAATGCATGGAACGCTTTCTGATAACGCAAGTTTTGATCTTCTATCTCGTGGCACAGATTGGAGCAAGAGCGTTTTGACCTTCGATGTCGCTCGCACCCTTAAACCCTTTGGTTATTACTGGTTTATTTTTATGATATGGGATGAACTATGTAGGCTTGTAAGAGTCTTATAGACGAAGAAAGCAGACTGTTCTGAGACCTTCTGTTTTTTCTTTAGAGATCGTTGAGTCCGCTTTCGAAAATGAAAACCTGGTGGTGATTTATTGACCGCTAATGGATGGGCTCGATAAGGGTTTAGTTATTCTGTTGTGGTCAACTATTTATTGCCAATCACTTTTCATTTTAGGCGGTTTAGAGATTGGTTAACCCTTGCTGCCAGAAGACGATTGATAAATCACCGTCCCTTTGCTCGCTATCTTGGCTCACCACCTTGACTTTTTTTGATGGTGTATCAGAACCGTCTCGGCTTTGTTGCCCATAGCATAAGTTCAGCCACCCCCTCCCTTAATTTTTTTTTGAGGGGAGGGGCCGGCTGTTGCCCACAGTTCACGCAAAAGTAAGAGCACTTGAGGGCTGTGCCATTTTTGCTGACTTAAATGGTACTCTGTCTTTTCAGGGCTGTTGCCTTCCTTGAAAGCTTAGAGATGTCATTAGAAACAGAGGCTATGTGGAAAACATTGAGTCGCCTCGCTCTGGAGGCGAGGCAGTTGCATATTGCTGAACGGTGTTTTGCTGCTCTGGGTGATGTACCAAAAGCAAAGGCTTTACGTCAGATTAACAAGATCGCCGAGCAAACTGCTGAAGAAATGGTGAGCTCTGTTCATAATCAGCCTTTCTGTTCTTTAGCGAAACGTTTAACCCCGTTTCTTTTCCTTTGGTGTTCAGAATTAACCATTTGCTTTATTCTCTAGGGAGGAGATGGTACAAACCACGTTCGAGTTCGAGCAAAGCTTGCAGTGCTAGATAAGAACTTTAAGCTGGCTGAGAGTATTCTACTCGAGCAAGGCTATGTGGATGAAGCTATAGAGATGTATCAAGAACTGCATAAATGGGATGAAGCTATTGCTGTGGCTGATGCTAAGGTATAAGGGAAGGGAGAGTAGTGGATGCTTTGGGTATGTACATGGGAAAGAGAGGCATTTCGCCTGTCTAAACACTGTTAGGAAGCATATGACGAGATAACAAGTTGTAGGGGTGAAGACAATGGATTAAAAATTGGACGATGCTCTGTAGGGGATGTTCTGCATTAAATCGTACTGTGCTTATATCTGGAGGGTGGGCATGGGGGATATTTTCTCTATTCCAGATGTGTAGATAGAAAGGTATGAGAGTGGAGATGGTTGAGAAGTGGAGAATGCTGTGCATTACGTTATAAGATGCTCATATGTGAGGGATGGGTAGGGAGAGATTTACGTTTTTTCCTTTTGACCTAAATACTCGAATACGTCGAACAACATTGACCCAAACTACTAAAGTAGATACAAAACGTAATACCTTGTACATTAGGATGATCATTTCAGTATTTATATTTTTATTAATTTTTTTTTATATCAGGGCCATCCTGAGCTGGAGAATCTACGGGCTGCACATTATCAGTGGCTCTCAGAGACCGCTCAAGAGGAGAAAGCAGGCGAGGTGAGTTGGCGGTTTTACTTTGGGCACTGCCGAGTAGATGCACTTGAAGTCTTGTCGGTTTGGTATTGGTTTTCGACATTTCTCTTTCAGTGCCGGATCCAGACCTTGAGATAAGGGGTGGGCGGTCATCCAGACCCTGAGATAAGGGGGAGGGGGCAGTCCTTTGGACCTCAGTTTGGTCTAAAAATAAGAGGAGGGGGTGGGCTCCCCTGGCCCCTCCCCTAGATCCGCCACTGTCTTTGCTTGACTTTATTTTTTCTTGACTCTTGTGTCCAGGTGAAGGAAAGAGAAGGGAACTCTACTGAAGCTGTAAATCTGTACCTGAAGGCTGGTCTGCCCGCTAAAGCTGCACGGCTTGCAATGAGTAGAGAGGTATGCCCTTATATCGACCAGATTTATTCTCACCCACCCCTATTTTCCTCAGACTGTGGATCGTTTTAGACATATGTGCTATCGTGCCCACGCTATATTGGGGATTTTGAAGCTTCGCGTGAGACGGGGTCGGAGTTTTATCGAACTACAGTATTGGACTGTTTTGGACACGATATCGCGTCTTTTATTGGCTCTTGCTGTTGGCGTAGGAAACTGGGTCAAAATTCGTCCCTTAAAACACACTGTCTCAAAATGGTCAATGATGAAAAGTGAACAAGAATCACTTCGTGAATTTTACCGGGGCCACTTTTGTCTTGGCAACCCACGTCTTTTTCATCAACAAGTTTGCCGGGCGACATGAAAATCTTTTTTATTGCAAATATTCTTTAGAGATGAAAACAAGGTGTAATGAATAACGTGAAAAGGCAAAATGTTAGGGAATCCCGAATTTTGAACAGTTGAGAATTTGCGCATCTCGCTAACGTAAATATTGCGTGACAAAGGTTATTTGAAAATATTTTGTTTTGTTGCTTCATAAGTCAAAGCAGTGATAGACTTCCTCCTAATGAGTTTTACTTGTTTGCCGGAAAATATTTGACGAAGTTTCCTGTTGGGAGTGCGAATTGTAAGGTACTGAAACGCATAAACAAAGCTTGGCGCATGCAAGTTTAATAAGTTAAGATTTTTTCTTTGTCGTAGTGTACACAGTTCTACGTCGACCAAGCTTTGTCATCGCTAGGATGAACACTGTAACAATATTTTGCAATAGACAGGGATCTCATTTATTGATAAGTGGTAAATACAGTCGCATTAAACCATTCCGTGTGCAAACTAATCGAATTAATATTTACATGGTTACAGTTGTTGCTCCATACTTCAAATTTCTGAACCAACGATATATCTCAGCGAACACTGTCAAAAGTAACGAACCAGCGATATATCTCAGTCAGCGATATATCCCTAACAATGTAACTTTGAAAACACAGAAACGCGTTGCATTTTATGACCGGTGCCAGCCTTCGGCTAGGCCCCGGTAATTACAAGTTTCTAAAACGATATGCTACGCATCCTTGAGACGAGAGATCTGAGAATATCTACGTTCCATCATTGATACCGATCTGTCTTCTGCAGTTTATGCTTCATAAAAGGTTTTCAATTTGGAAGGAAAACGTAAAGGAAACATATTTGTCTATGGAAAGAAAACGAATCCTTTTAAGTAATAGTATTGATGGGATAAATTCTCTTGAACGATACTTTCATGGTCACTGAAACAGTTAAGCTACCCTAAGGCCCCTCTGCAAGCAACAGAATGTAGACAGGTTATTCTTGGTTTCAACCATGTGACGAGGCAGTAATGTTGGTGGTTAGAAGAATTTACTTGAAAATGGAGTTTAGTTCCAGACAGAGAAAAATGCTCTTATTCTTGACCACCGCCATGACGTCACATACAAACCAGCAATTCCCCACTCCGGAAACTTTCGGCGCAACGATTGCTGGGATGGTTTGGTCGGACAAGCGTTAGTTATGATTGCTTGATGGTATTCAAGACAACCGTTAACCATTCATGAGTGATGCTTGTCCATCAAACAGTCTCAAAAATCGTTGCGCCGGAAGCTTGTAGTTTCTGGAGTGGGGAATAAACAGTGCTTTCTTTACCGTGATAGGAGCTGATGAATTCATCGGAGTTACTTGAGAGGATCGCGGCTGCGCTTCTTAAGGGAGGACTGTACGAACAGGTGTGTGCCTTAGACTCCTTATGGTCGAAATTTGGGTTAAGTCTTGTATGTTGGTTAACTGTTGCTTAACCGTTACTTCTTTGGGGCAGCTCTAGTGCTGGCTTGACAAGGGAATCGATTGCCACTTAAGCACACGGTTGTCTCAATTTACTAACATTTATGGTATTCGTCCATTTAAGGCTGGAGAACTGTACGAGAAAGTTGGCAAAAATGACAGAGCTATGGAAGCATATCGCAAAGGCAATGCGTACAGGAGAGGTGAGGAATATTAACCTGAGTCTGTTGATAGAATTTGAACCTTTCCCCTGCTCTCCAATAGCTGTTTGTCTCTTCCTCGGTGGGTAGGGGTGGGGGGTGGGACCCGATAGAACTTAGGGCCAAGTCGCACTAGAGGACAAAACTGTTTATGTCAAAAATCTGTCATCACAATGAAAAACCAAGTGCGACCGGTTTGTTCACCAAAGGACAAAATTTGGTCGCAGACGGACAAACTTCAAAGATGCCGTCGACTACCTCTGGAGCAGGCCAAATTGAGACAAATTTTGGAAAACAATAGCGAGTGTGTTTTAATTCGGAAATGATTTGACAGGTGATATGTAGCAGAGTCTCTATGCTATAAACTTCGTTGTAAAATTAATCACGTTCACATTTCGCAACAACAGGAATCCCGGCGCGGGCGACCAATTTTTTCCGTGCGAATATCCACAATATCCACCAGGATGGATCTATCCTTTGGCAGGCCCTTGCATGTTTAATGATCGAGGAAATCCCAGCCCATTTCCTTCGACCACGAGTACTGACTCGTTGCCAGAATCCCTCCAGTTCAGCGAAGATAGCTCAATGCCGGCATCAACCCCATCTTCTTCGCGTCGTGCATCTTCGTCAGCCGACAACAAGAAGGCTCAGGACAGATGGAGTAAAGAAGAGGAGAAGCTTTTAGTTCAACTGTGGGCTGAAATCACAAGGCGCTCACAGCATGGTGTTGTGTTTTGTTCACAGATTTTGTTCTTAAGTGCGACTGTAGCTCTCCGGACAAATTTTTTGTCACTGGCCGATTTCAAGTCGAATTTGTCCAGAACAAATGTAAAATTGCCCTCTAGTGCGACTTGGCCCTTAATCATTAAACTAAGAAAAGAGAGTTCCACACGACACTGTTTCAGAGTTCACAAAAGCACAATCTTCTGTGCCCCCTTACCATCTGGCGCTAAAAGCTGTTTGAAAAAAAAAAATACATTTCCTGGCCTGTTGATGTATTACTTCAATTGACCTCATCTCTTCTTTCCTTTTATGTAGCCGTGGAATTGTCTCGTGTGGCGTTTCCTCGAGAGGTGGTCAAGCTCGAGGAAGCCTGGGGCGATTACTTGGTCTCGCAGAAACAGCTGGATGCTGCCATCAATCACTACATCGAGGCTGGGTGAGTAGCATACAGTCGAGGTTATCTTCGTCGTTACTTGCTTCCATACAGAAGAGGTTGAAGAACGAAGCTGAACTCGTTTATACTTTCACTTTCAGTTGTTCAATCAAAGCTATCGAGGCAGCTATCCAAGCTCGGCAGTGGAACAAAGCAGTTCAGATTGTAGAGCTTCAGGATGATAATGTAGCAGAAAGGTCAGTCGCTTTAACGCATTTTAGGGAAATCTGTGATCTGAGCTCCTTCTCAGCCACAAGGAAACAAAGGGTCAGTTTAGGGTTGTGTGAAACTGCCCATATACCCCTCTCGTAACCCAACATTTTGCTCTCAGTGAGAAGTAAGTGTTAATGTTAGCTTAGAGGAAGGGTAGGTGGGCAGTTTCCTAGAAACCTCAATTATTCGTTTTCACTGTCACGTAATAAACACGACACAAAAAAATACATTTGAAACCGTCCAGTGGAAGAAGCCAAGAAAATGAAATGTTATAAAAGGCTAATATATAAACAATTTGGCCAAATCTCAGGTCTTTGTGGCCCACAGTGTCTGAGTTAGTTGCCGAAACATTTCACGCACCTTTGTAGAGCTTTGTATGGAGACGCCATATTGGTGGACAGAAACTGTCCACCAATATGGCCGCCGGAAATCAACAAAAACATCTGGAGTTCACTTTTTCTATAAAAGCGCCTCCTTTTCACTCGAGAACTAGCATACTTACGCATAAACATATCTTCTAATACTTGAAATGGTTAAACTGCTTAAAATCAAGCGGAGAGACTTTTTTCAAGGAGATAGCATTCCTATTTTGGTGTCACGCACTGTAAAAACTCGGAAGTTCAAACTGCTGTATTTTCGAAATGAAACATGCTTCGGGGCTGGAAACGTGCACAAAGATTTATTTCCTATTAATCTTCAACCTAGTGTAAATAAGAATTCGTAAAACCTCGCTTTTTTGACTTTGCAATCTGATGACGTCACCGTGAAAACCATCAATTGATCCGAAACAAAAAGGCGCTATCGCGGGCTCTGATTTTTACGCACTGAACAGTTCAATATTCAAACCTCAAAAGATAAGTTACAACCACTTCTAAGGTGATCAACCATAGCCTTCTGCGTTTTTTAACGCATGTAGCCTGCGTAGATATCCTTACCGTTAGACCCTCTTTGAATTTTCTCTCGTTGCGATATAGTGAAGCGAGATTAAAGTTTTGGTGCGATGATAGGTGACAGGAACTGTATCCCCTTTCGCGCCTTCTTGGTTTTCTTCTACCACAGAGGTGTCTTTGCAAAACAATATAATACTATAACAGACAATACTTGCCCTTCTTAAAAGGGCTGAGCTGCATGCTACGCATTTTGAGCAATTGTTACTTCTCTTGACGAACTCTCAAGGATGTAAACAACATTTTTGTGTCTGATTTCTTACTTTTCTCAGATATTATCACCATATTGCTCAGCACTACTCCCAAGTTCAAGAGTATAAGGTATTTGTTACCACGATTTCAGCTGATATTTTTCTTTCTTCCATGACTCACTTTTTTCTGCCGGTTTTGGTCCTTAGCTTGCTGAGAAGTATTTTGTCAAGGGAGGGGACCCACGGGCTGCCATTGAGATGTACACCAAAGCCAACATGTACGAAGCCGCTCACAAGGTACCTATCGTGAACTTATTCTCATTCTATCTTTTTTAAAGAAATCAAAGGTAGAAAATAAGCTTATTTTGTCCGTTTTCACCCATCTCTTTCTGAAGCTTGCTGTACAGTGCATGACACAAGAGGAGGTTGCCGTCATCTACATATCGCAGGCTCAGGAGTTAGAGGCACAAGGCAAATACAAAGAGGCAGAGAGGTGGTTTACATTACTGAGTATTCCTGATTGCCGTCCCTCCCTCCCCATCCTCCCTCGATTGCCCCACCCAACCACCATCCCTCCCTCCCTCCGTCTGACAAGATTCTTTACCTGTGATTCTGAAAAATAACCTCTAAATTGTAACCTACTGAAACAGGAGAAATTTCCGTGACCTTCAATGAGACGAGACCGGAATGTTTATCATAACGTTAAATTGTCACAGTCTGAATCCTTTTGATCATAAATGGCTTGTCAACCTACTCACCCCACAGGCAAAGTTCATGAACCTTACCTCTGAAGGTTCATGAACGGTCTATCATCAAATGAAACTTCTGTTTTCTCAGACACAGGGTCAGTACCTTAAACGGTCGCCCTGGGAAGTGCTCTTCAGAATTCAGGTTTTACTAACAAACCGTGCCATTTTAAGGTCGAGCTTGAGACTGGGTCGGTGTTGTATTGAACTGCACTATGGGACTGTTTTGAGGACGCTATCGCTTCTTTTATTGGCTGTGACGAGGTTGCGTAGGGAACTGGGTCAATTTTAATCTTTTAAAAACTGTCCCATAGTGTAATTCAACACAACACTGTCCCAGTCTCAAGCGCAACCCCAAAATGTGCATTTTAAGGTCGAGCTTAAGACTGGGTCGGTGTTGTATCGAACTGAACTATGGGATTGTTTTGGGTACGCTATCGCTTCTTTTATTGGCTGTGACGATTTTCGCGAAGGAAACTGGGTCAATAGTTATCTTTTAAAGACTGTCCCTTAGTGTAATTTAACTCAACATTGTCCCAGTGTCAAGCGCAACCTCAAAATGGCAAATTTTTATAACTCTTGTTGTTGTTTTTTTGCTGTTGTTGTTGTTTTAGACTCTACTGCACCGTTGAAGAGCCAGACTTAGCCATCAACATGTACAAAAAACTGCGCCAGGTTAATTTTCTTTTTGGGTTTTAATTTAATTTGGGTACTCGTACAAGTTTACACTTAGGTGTAATAAAGAGTATCGTTAAAAATGCTACTGACATATCGTTCTGGTTGATCAGTATCTCAAAATCGCCAACAGCACGCTTTGAGAAAAATCCGTGGGTATGTATTGAAAATTAGAGGGGACTTGTAATCAAGAAAGGAAGTTCTTTTCTGTCGCAAAGCGAAAGCGAAAGTAAATACTTGAGCCAATCAGAAGAGACAAGACTTGAAAATCTATTAAAATAATGAAAACACTGAGCAGACGTCAAGCTCCTGTAAGTTAAAGAGTGGTTTTATTTCTGTTTGGTTGATTAGATGGCGCGAAATATTTTGGTAGCCACTGGAAATTATAGTGTTGAAAAATCGAGTGACCGTGAAGTTACGTTCTTTAAGTTTTGTGCTAACTTCCTTTCTAAACTTTTTCTCTTGTCTTTGCAGTTTGACAACATGATCAGATTAGTGGCCATTCACCATGAGGATTTACTAGCGGACACACACATACACCTGGCAAAGGTACAGTGCTGGGGGTTGGTCTGTTTCCGACCCTCAGGGAGAAGACTGGCAGGGAGACAGAGCTCGCTTTTTTTCGCTTTTCGAAGAGAATTATATTTGTGTGCGCAGGGTTAATAATATCACACTTGATTTAATATGAATTATGCAACGTGCTGAAAAGGGACAAGCGTATATTGTCTTGTGAGGCAAATTTCTTGCGCTGTATTTAACTGGTTAAGCGAAGAGGGTGTGAAAGTCAGATGGCGTTACCGCGTAGGTGTTTGTAGTTAGCTGTCCCGAAAATACATCCCAAAGTGAGTCCAAAATGAGACCCCAGCAACCAACATTGATGCGCATACGTTGTTTATTGTACAGGAGCTGGAATCTGAAGGCCAGTTACGTCAGGCCGAGCACCATTACCTGGAAGCAAGAGACTGGAAAGCAGCAGTTAACATGTACAGGAATCAGGATATGTGGGAAGAGGCTTACAGGGTCAGTTTGTGTTTGAGTGTGAACGAATAAGTGAAATCACCGGCAAACCCAAAGATGGGAATTCAGGAAAATTACTGAACAAACATTAAAGTCTTCTTGGTATTGCAAGTTAATAATTAAAGATACCAGGCAATCAATCAAACTACCAATCACGTTTAATTTAGCAGGTCTATAATGTATATTTTGGCATCGTTGCTCGGGGATATCGTCAACATTAGACTCAGTCTCCGGAGACTATTTACTAGCCAGCCCTGGGCTTATACCCCATAGACTCCCCAGGAGGTATAAGGGTGTGGCCGCTTTCATCGGCGCCAGGTTTTATGAGTGAAGAGACGAGTACTTCGTGTGGTTCTTTTGAGGGTACTTTATATCTAGTGTTCCCTTCTGAACTTCAAACTCGTAACCTTTGTCCAAATATAAACTCAAAACAGTTCAAATCGCAGGTGACACCTTTTTTTCGATGCATAGATTCACCTGCGATTCCTTTTGCTTCGTCCTCTGACTTTGTAATAATGTTCATCTTGCCTGTTGTTTCTGCTAGGTTACTTTACTGTTCGGTCTTTTTCTTTTCAGGTTGCCAAGCAACATGGAAGCCAAAATGCGTCCAAACAAGTAGCGTATCTGTGGGCGAAGAGTTTAGGTAAGTCTATTTTGTCAATCGGATTATAATGATTTTTCGTACTGTTATACGCAGCTGGTCAGTTTACTAAGCAGTAGATTTGTATAAGGCGTCGTAATTCGTCTGTGTCATGAAGTGTATTGGAAGTCGTTAGATTGACCGTTTCCCAGTGACTGCATACGATTACGGAGGAGGTTTGTCAGAAATGTTTTTTGCTGGGAGTACTGTGTGTGATCCTCAATTTTGATGTTACACTCCTATTGCGCCTCGACATGGGATTTCTAGAGTAAATCCCATTTACTCTTTCTCTAAGCTTCTCTAGACGACTGTAAGTCAAGTGCACCCTAAGAGTGTAAATGGAATTGAGCTTAAGACCGATGTGTTTTAGCAATTACAGTTGGTCTTGTTTATTGTGACTTTTATAGGTGGAGATTCAGCTGTAAAGTTGCTGACCAAGTTTGGTTTGCTGGAGTCCGCTATAGATTATGCTGCAGAAAACTGGTAAAAAGATCTTGTTACTTTTATCATTTATGTCCCGTCCTTGCTAGCGACACAGACTTTAAAAAAGTACAAGCATAAGATTTTTTGTGCGCTAATGAGTGCAGCCGCGATTTTAGTATAGTTCAACTATAGATATAAAAATATCAAAACCCTGTGCTCTTCTTTTGCTTTTGCCTATTGCCCGTTTGGATCGAGGTTGCACGTGCGACTGTTCGGAATCGTGTCCAGTGGAATTTTGGGACTGTTTTTGACCCAGTTTCCTGCGCACCTTTGTAATAGTCCCACAGTGCAATTCGACATAACCTCGACCCACTCTCCCTTGCGACCTCAAAATAGCCAATGGCGATGTTTCCCCCGGACCAACAAGCACACCCAAGATCTTCTCTAAACCTCTCCATTTCCTCCTTGGGGGATTTATTCTTGGTTACAGCGTTTGCAGCGTAAAACTTTTACGCCTGTGCGCCTGCATATCTCACTCCTGTTACCTGTTCTTGGGGAATTGCTTGGGGTGTGTTTCAGGTTATGCTTATGCTTATTCTTGTGTCACTAGTGGAGACCAGGCTTTAAAACTTTAATGACTAACATCATTTTTTTCCTTTAAATATCAATCCACTCTCAAGAGAAAAGATGGTTAGAATTTATAAAGTGATCACCTTAGGGAAAACGCTTTGATGTTTTAACAAATTCTCTTATGTAATTCGTTATGAAAATGTATGAAGATCAGTCTGGAGAATTTGTCATGCGAATTTGATTTTTCATAAGAATTTAACATTTAGTATCCTTACTTAGTGGGAAGTCACTATTAATGTTTGACACTTAAATAAGTTATCTACCCATCTTTGTATGTGGCTGTTGGGCCTTTTAAAGGCTGGTTTGCACTAGATCGGAGTCGGAGTCGGAGTCGTAATCAGAAGCGTAGAGCTTATGATCTAGTGAAAACAGCGTTCCGACTCCGCTTACGACTCCGTCGCTTACGTTCCGCTTATGATCTTGTGAAAACCAGATTGTCGGAGTCGGAAGCAGAAGCAGAAGAACTAAATCAATCACAAAGCGTGGGAACGTGCATTGTGATTGGTTTATCCTTCCGCTTCTGCTTCCGACTCCGACAATCTGGTTTTCACTAGATCATAAGCGGAACGTAAGCGACGGAGTCGTAAGCGGAGTCGGAAGAAATGGAAACGTTCTGATTCTTCTGACGCCGATTCCGTTGCGCTTATGACTCCGCTTACGACTCCGATTTTTGATTTTCATTTGGTCATAAGAGCTGTTACGACTCCGCTTAGGACTCCGACTCCGTCGCTAGTGAAAACCAGCCTTAAAGGTTAGGAATGTTGAACAGCTTTACAAAATGTTGCCACAAATCTTTTTACCTTTAGTTTTGCGTTTTAAAAAATGGTACCCTTAAGTTTGTTTCTTTCTCTCTTTTTGTCTTAACTAGTGCTTTTGAGTTCGCGTTTGATTTAGCCCGCACGGCTATGAAATCCAAACTACCGGACATTCACCTGAAGTACGCCATGTTCTTAGAGGACGAAGGAAAGTTCACAGAAGCCGAACATGAATTTATTAAAGCTGGAAAATCCAAGGAGGCCGTCCTTATGTGAGTTATATGGCGGGTTTTATGTAACATTCACAACCAACTTAATACTCCTCTGCGCAATTTCCTTATTCTATAGCTTTCGACCGTTGCAATAGACACTGTTATATCGCGCCCTGGGCCCAGTTGTTCGAAAATCGATTACCGCTTAACCCGGGGTTAAATTTAACCCCGGTTTCTTTTTCTTGTGTCAAAAAGCATTTTCTCGGATAATTTTCTAGTATGTTATTTTTAGAGCTTCCAATCATCAACTTGTAGACAAAAAGAATTAAAACTGAAATGCTTTTTAAGCTTTCAAATCTGCATTCAAATCTCGCACTATCTTAACCCAGCTTTGAACAACTCGGCCCCTGTTGTCTGTTTGACTGTTTCCTCAGATAATAACATACCAATGTGGTGTTCCCTGCCCTGTTTTATTGTCACGGTAGATTCCACTTTACCCGCCTTTGTTTTGAGTTTGACATGCTAGAAGTTTTAAAGCATGGTCTGTCCTCATTGCAATGGACTTTTTTCTACCGCGCTTCTTTCTGCGTTTAATTGTTACATAGCATACTACCATACCTCTATAACCCGTTCTACCAGAGGGTGTCTGCTGCGTGAGACGTTTCAATAGCGCATTCTGTTGTGTTTCCCGTTTAATTCTGAACTTAAATCTAAGTTTACCAATCATAGCGTCCATTTTTCTGTATTTGTTTGCTTCGTTAAATAGTGTTAGTGTCTAAATTCGCTATATTGCGTATTTTACTGCAACGGCGACTAACATGGGTTTTTCACTGTTCCCCACCCCCACCCCCCATATTTCAGGTACGTTCACAATCAAGATTGGGACAGTGCTCAGAGAGTGGCAGAGGAAAATGATCCTGATAGCGTTACGGACGTCTTAGTAGGACAGGTGCTGTTTATCCGGTGCTTTGATAGGTTAAAACGCGGATCAGTTGAGGTTTTTAGGTATCTGACCACCTACCCCTTCCGTAAGTCAATATTAACAATTAGTCCTCACTTATGGCAAAATTGTGACTTAGGGGAGGGGTAGGTGGTTGGTTACCCAGAAACCTCCATTTATCTTAAATCCCTTTAAAGTACGGTTCTTTTTACTTGGACATTCATTTATAGCACCCGTTTAGTGAAGATGGCTGTAGAGTTAATCCTTACCTTTCATGACCTTACTTACTGACCGCCTTTGGTTTGGTTGTGTACTGAAGAGAATACGCCAACTCCTTCAATGCTTCCTAGCCTCGCTTTCTGATATATCCTACTCTTATTTCCTCCTTTGATTAAGCGGCGCCTCTTTTATTCCGAGTTCCTATCCCAAATTCTCTACCTCTCTTCCCTACCCCTGTTCCCAACTGTTGTTCCCTATCTCTCTTCCCTACCCCTGTTCCCAATTTATTTTACCAACCCCTGTTGTCAACCTTTGTCCCCTAACCTCTGTTCCTAACTATTGTTCCCTACCTCTCTTCTGTACCCCTGTTCCCAATTTATTTTACCAACCCCTATTGTCAACCGTTGTTCCCTAACCCCTGATTCCAACTGTTGTCCCCTATCTCTCTTCCCTACCCCTGTTCCCAATCTATTTTACCAACGCCTGTTGTCAACCTTTGTTCCCTAACCCCTGTTCCCAACTGTTGTCCCCTACCTCTCTTCCCTACCCCTGTTCCCAATCTATTTTACCAACGCCTGTTGTCAACCTTTGTTCCCTAACCCCTGTTCCCAACTGTTGTTCCCTACCTCTCTTCCCTACCCCTGTTCCCAATCTATTTTACCAACGCCTGTTGTCAACCTTTGTCCCCTAACCCCTGTTCCCAACTGTTGTTCCCTACCTCTCTTCCCTACCCCTGTTCCCAATGCATTTTACCAACCCCTGTTGCCACGTTTTTGTTTCTTGACCCTTTTTCCCAACTTCAGTTCCCAGCCCTTGTTTCCAATCTTTTTCTCTCCCCCTGTTCCCAATCCTTGTTTCTAAACTCTGCTCCATACCCCTGTTCCCTACTCCTGTTTCTAATTCTTTTTTCAATCCTTGTAATCCTCCTTCAATTCTTGTTCTCAGCCCCTGTTTCTAATCCTTGTTCCTTGTTCCTTGTTCCCTTACTCTTTTTCCCTATGAATGTTGCCAACCCCTGTTGCCAACCTCCGTTTCCAACTCCTGTTGTTCCCTGACCCCTGTTCCCAACTGTTGCCCCCTATCTCTCTTCCCTACCCCTGTTCCCAATTTATTTTACCAACCCCTGTTGTCAACCTTTGTTCCCTAACCTCTGTTCCTAACTATTGTTCCCTACCTCTCTTCTGTACCCCTGTTCCCAATTTATTTTACCAACCCCTGTTGTCAACCTTTGTTCCCTAAATCCTGTTCCCAACTGTTGTTCCCTATCTCTCTTCCCTACCCCTGTTACCAATCTATTTTACCAACCCCTGTTGTCAACCTTTGTCCCCTAACCCCTGTTCCCAACTGTTGTTCCCTATCTCTCTTCCCTACCCCTGTTCCCAATCTATTTTACCAACCCCTGTTGTCAACCTTTGTTCCCTAACCCCTGTTCCCAACTGTTGTTCCCTACCTCTCTTCCCTACCCCTGTTCCCAATCTATTTTACCAACCCCTGTTGTCAACCTTTGTTCTCTAACCCCTGTTCCCAACTGTTGTTCCCTACCTCTCTTCCCTACCCCTGTTCCCAATCTATTTTACCAACCCCTGTTGTCAACCTTTGTTCCCTAACCCCTGTTCCCAACTGTTGTTCCCTACCTCTCTTCCCTACCCCTGTTCCCAATCTATTTTACCAACCCCTGTTGTCAACCTTTGTTCTCTAACCCCTGTTCCCAACTGTTGTTCCCTACCTCTCTTCCCTACCCCTGTTCCCAATCTATTTTACCAACCCCTGTTGTCAACCTTTGTTCCCTAAAACTTGTTCCCAACTGTTGTTCCCTATCTCTCTTCCCTACCCCTGTTCCCAATCTATTTTACCAACCCCTGTTGTCAACCTTTGTTCTCTAACCCCTGTTCCCAACTGTTGTTCCCTACCTCTCTTCCCTACCCCTGTTCCCAATCTATTTTACCAACCCCTGTTGTCAACCTTTGTTCTCTAACCCCTGTTCCCAACTGTTGTCCCCTATCTCTCTTCCCTACCCCTGTTCCCAATCTATTTTACCAACCCCTGTTGTCAACCTTTGTTCCCTAACCCCTGTTCCCAACTGTTGTCCCCTACCTCTCTTCCCTACCCCTGTTCCCAATGCATTTTACCAACCCCTGTTGTCAACCTTTGTCCCCTAACCCCTGTTCCCAACTGTTGTTCCCTACCTCTCTTCCCTACCCCTGTTCCCAATGCATTTTACCAACGCCTGTTGTCAACCTTTGTCCCCTAACCCCTGTTCCCAACTGTTGTTCCCTACCTCTCTTCCCTACCCCTGTTCCCAATGCATTTTACCAACCCCTGTTGCCACGTTTTTGTTTCTTGACCCTTTTTCCCAACTTCAGTTCCCAGCCCTTGTTCCCAATCTTTTTCTCTCCCCCTGTTCCCAATCCTTGTTTCTAAACTCTGCTCCATACCCCTGTTCCCTACTCCTGTTTCTAATTCGTTTTTCAATCCTTGTAATCCTCCTTCAATTCTTGTTCCCAGCCCCTGTTTTTAATCCTTGTTCCTTGTTCCTTGTTCCCTTACTCTTTTTCCCTATGAATGTTGCCAACCCCTGTTGCCAACCTTTTTCCACTTCCCATGTTTCCAGCCTCTGTTCATTATTCCCGTTCCCAACGCCTGTTTTTAATTCTTGTTTCCAACTTCTGCTCTCTATCTCTGTTTCCAATCCTTTTCAATCTATTCCCAAGCCCTGTTCCTAACCTCCAATCCCAATCTCTACCTCCTAATGGAAAATTTGAGTGTTCGTCTTTCTGTGTATTGCAGGCTCGTGTTGCATTCGACAAAAAGGAATTCCAAAAAGCAGAAACATTTCTATTGCGCGCTCAGAGACCAGAACTTTCTGCTCGCTATTACAAGGTACCTTAGCTTCACTTGAACACTGAGCCATGTTATCAAAGCTGTAGACTTTTTTATTCATTTATTCGTTACATTTTGTTTTTAAGTGATCGTTTAATGTATCTTTTGTAGTTGCTTTTTAGGAGGTCCTTTTCTTTTTCCTCAAAGGCACAAGTTTTTGCCTTGTAACGCAACCAATGCAATCCCGCGGAACTTAAAGCAAGTAACAGGGGAATGTTGGAACCTTGCGAATCAGCAGTAAAGCATCTCATTCTCGAGTTCAGACCTAGTGCATAAGACGCGTTAACTTGGGAATGGGGCCAGAGTTTTCTGTAGTATAACCCTCTACAACGTCGTCAGCATTAAAACTGCATCGGGCAAAATTAAAGCTATGATCAATTTACCTTTGGACATGGGCTGAATAAAACGTGTTATTTTGTTCTATATATAGGAAGCTGGTATGTGGACAGATGCTCTGCGCGTTGTGAAGGAGTATTTACCTCATAAGGTATGTGCCTGCACATCGGACTTTATCTACATCAGCCCTTATTAACACGTGTTGAAAACATGTGATGGGCTGTTTACTATGATTTCAAAAACCGTAGTAAGGTTATTTAGGTAGGATGGCACTTGACAGTTTCAAAAACTGATAAACCTATGGCCCTCTAAGTTTCCCTAACTAATTGGAGACACTTCCCAGAGGAAGAAGGTGTCTGAATTATCGCGTCTGTGGATGGCATTTTAAGGTGTAGTCATTGAAATAAATCTGATCGACATTTATTGTCCAGTTGTACTATTTATGGTACATTTCCCAGTTGCGAGTCTCGGATATTACCATTCTAACGAAATCCATTATTTTTACCAACTCTGGATTCTTATAACTTGTTCAAATGTTCTTTACTTTCCCAACAGCTGGAGCAGTGGCAGGACGAGTATGATAGAGAGGTCATGTCCAAAGGAAACAGGTATAACCGGTTTGACGAACAATTTTAAACAGTTTGAAAAGGGATGCTACAGCCAATTCTGTAGATGTTTTCGGGCTATGGAACCTAGGCCCCTGTTTTAGGGCCAATCCAAAGATATTGTCAAGATACTAGGCGGATACACCATTAATATTCGGTACTAGTAAAATCCAGCTAGTGGTCTATCATCAATGCTGCGTTCTGATTGGTTGAGCTACTACTAAGCTATATGTTATGGCCTACTAGTAGCGAAAAGCGCGCTTTTTGGTGGCAAAAGGGGATTAAAGTCTAGCTTTCACTAGCTAAATTTTTTTTATTCTCGATATTTTTTACCAACTAGTTGGATTTTACTAAAACAATTATTCCTCTCCCCCTCATGGCCTCTGAGTCAATAGCCCATTCGGCCTTCGGCCTCATGGGCTATTAACTCAGAGCCCATTCGGGCTCGAGTAATAATTGTTAAATATTAGGGTAGTACAGTAGCTATTCCGAAGCTCTATTTTTCATTGGCCTAAATTTTGTTTTTAGAGCTAGGGGTATTGTCTTTGTTGATTCATCTAATGTTTTTTTCTTCAATCAAAGACCATGTCTGGAGAGCTACTGACCTTCTCTAATATTAGTATATTGGCCTGCGTGCAAGCTCTCGGGGTGTGGTGGTCACTCGCTCGCTAGCTATTGGTGTATTTGAAGACTTGTTCCCCTGGTTGACCTGCTGTTTTATTACTGTTTTATTTTAGAGGGGCGGAGTCTTTGTTGAACCAAGGAATTGAGTGGGAAAAGAAAGGCGAGTACAACCGTGCGATTGAGATGTATATGAAGATTACACCGAGTATGACAACTGATCATGAACTGGTCGAGGATGCTATGGTCAAGGTTAGTGTAATTAGTCAAGTGATCTACTGCTAATGGCTTGAGGGTACAGGAATATCACATCTTTGGAAGCCTGATAAGAGAAGCTTGAGCAAAATGTCTCTCGTGCGTTCATATAGATACCCGATTATTTCAGAGCACTAAAATTGTTTTCTTACACACTTCTTGAGGAGCGGTTGATGGAATTGGGTGTATGGCTTGCAAAGCGTTATCGTGGCTTGTTAAAGAAAAGTACTTAACATCTCCTGTCTAATAAACTTACTCATCAACTGTTACTACTTCCAGGCTGTTGAACTAGCGATGAAGTTCGTCAGTGACAGAGCTTATGATGTGGCGAGGATTGCCTGTCCCCGACTAGCTGAGATCAAGTGTTATGAACAGGTCTGTCAATAAACATTGCACCAGTTAACAATAAGTTACTTGTTCTCTGTTTTCTTTTGTTTGTTTATACTAAGAGAGATTATGTTGTATCAACGGTGTTTTAAATGTAAGTGTTGTCCTCCGTATTTTTGTTAAACCATGTTCTTTTCTGTTTGTTTTCTGTTAGGCTGGCGAGCTGTATCTTGGAGTTGAGATGGTGAAGGAAGCTATTGATGTCTATATCCAGGGTGAACTGTGGCCAAAAGCCAAGAGATGTGCTGCAGAAATGGCCCCCAAGTACGTAAATTGTGTTTTACTGTAACTTACTTGCTGGCTATTCTCTTAATTCTGAAAAATGTACTCGAGGAGAACTCGATATCGCTGTGGATACATTACTATTAACTTGTAGAAAATGGGAGGTCGTTTCTATTACCCAAGTCTTGCATACTGCCGGCAGAGTGTATGAACATCAATGATCCTGTTGAGTTATACGTTTTTCTTATATTCACTATTTCAGGTACGAACAGTACGTCGAGGATGCTTACGTTGCTTTTCTAAAACAGAAAGGACAAGCTGAACAGGTATAAAACAGAATGAAAAAACAGTTTTAGATCACAGGCTTAAAGCAGCCAAAATTGGTCATACACTTGGGTCCTGTAGGCATGTTATGTTTAGGAAATTGGTGACGCTGATAAAATGATGATGACGGTGGTGACGACGACGACGACGATGAGGATAATGATGATGATGATATCGATAATAATAATGGTAATAATGGTGATGGTGATAGTTTGTCAATCAATCAATGGTTTATTTTCTTACGTATCGTCTAATTAGCCCATAAGCTCGTTCAAAATACGTGCGTAAATGTAGATGATGATGATGATCAAAGTGGTGATAATGATATGTTGATGTTGATGATAATGTGTGATGATGATGACGATGACGAATATAAGTTACCAATGCATTCTGTTGTTCTCGTTTTTCCAGTTGGTTGATGTGGATGTAATCGCCGGTTTGGATATGATGGTACAAAGAGGACAGTGGGATAAAGCTATCGAAACCGCTGAACAACAGGTACACAGAACTGCATTTTCTATCCTAGCGTCATTTAATAACAGGGGTGATGTATTACCTTGCGAGAATCAGAATCTCAATAATAAAGGTACAGGTCTTAATTCCCATATATATTTCTTTGCAAATGGCTTTATGCCAGTGTAAGGGAGCTTACCGAAAATCAGAACTGGGTGCCCGAACCAGTTACTTGAACGTGAATTGAAAGTTGTATTTCGAAATCGTCGCTTAAAACGTATCCCTGCCGTACACTTTATTTAGGTAAAGACTGATCTGGCTGGATAGTCCTGATTAACAGTGGAATTCTGTTATCGACTGGACTGGTTTTGCGCACTGAATTCTCTTATATTTTGTAATCTATTCACCTTTTTTTCTCACAGGGTTATGAAGTTCTTAGCAAGTACGTCGCATTGTATGCTGCTAATTTGATTAAAGAAAACAACACCCTGAAAGCCTTGGACTTGTTTTGTAGATACGGTGCTCCAGCTAATCCACAGGTGACTGACAACTTGTTACTTAATAACTTGTAGTACATTGTCGACACTCAAATAGACAGGCGAGGTCCAATGTAAAGGAACTTTCACGTATACGCCATATGTGGTTGAGTTTGTTGTTGATTCTCTCCTTGCTCCGAGAGGTTTTTCTCCGGGTACTCCGGTTTTCCCCTCTCTTCAAAAACATTTCCAAATTCCAATTCGATCAGGAATAAGGTAGACGAAGAACCACTATGCGGATGTGCTTCCTCCAAATCATTATTTACTTATTTATTATTTATTTATTTATTTATTTATATATGAGAGACCCAGAGCGACGTTGCTAACAAATCCCGCGCTCGGCCTTTTTTAAAAGAAGGCCTCAGAGCTCAGGTATTATCCTATATGTAAGGCACTATTCAACCTAAGAGAGAACGTTCTGGGGTATTCCAGAATTGCAATGAGTCAACTAAGTCTAATGTTCGCTTATTTCACTTCAAAGAAAACAAATTCCACAAGCAAGATAGAAATAGGATTATGGTACCCCTCATTGAACGCCACATTGCTCTCCGTACATTTCATATGGTATCTATGAGATTCAGATTCAGACAGAAACCACAAAATTGATTCGCGATTTTGAATTTGTCAAGTCAAGCTACTTGTCAACAGTACATGGCTAATCTATCCTTGCTTTGTTTATGTCAACAGAACTTTAATATTTACAAGCGCATCATAACAGACGTGATATCCATGCCAGGACTGTGGTCTGCTGATAGTTACCGCACTTGGGCGGATCTCAGAGACGTCCTGTTTGAGATAGTAAGTTTTGTTTTTATTATCTGAGAATCTGACCCAGTATAACTATGTTTAGAATCCGGAAATACAGCGCTATGCCATGGTAAGAGTCGGTTTATTTACCCTCAGAGGACGGACCCTTCCCTAAAACCCAAACCTCGAGTCCTCTTGTTCTTTTCAGGAGTCTCTCTGGAAGTTGGACTTCCCTCTTAGACGGACACTTAGTTCTAGTCCAAGAGGTGTCCTAGTTCTGACCCCCACCCCCCCTTCTATTTGTCACGCAACGCTGTTGTTGTGTGACAGAGAGAGAACCCAGAACTGGACTAAAGGTGTCCACGTTTAATAAAGAAATGTCATAATTGAAAACTTCATTTTGATCTTTGATTTAAGGTTGACGGTTTAAGTAAAGGATCAGCGGCTAGTTCACCACAGGCTAAGGAATTTGAAGTCATGCTGGAAGTCGTGCATTACTATAGTACCAGATGCGCCTGCATGCAACACAAATCACTGGTAAGCAGTATTGATAAGTTAATCAGTGGAGCTTTCCCGCATTCCGGTGAACAGAGGCACCAGAGGCTTCCTCTTACTATTTTGTTTCCTTTTTATTGTTTCCTCATTCTCTTTTAACAGGACACACTAGCAGCCAAATTATCAATTTCTCTTCTTCGACATTCTGATATTGTTCCTTGTGACAAAGCTTTTTACGAGGCTGGGGTGGCAGCCAAGGTGAGTGGTGTATTTATTCTTATCTCATCATTCAGTTGCCTCCCTTTGCTCCCTTCAGCTCTCCTTTAACATTATCTTCACAAAAGGACCTCTCCACCCTTTCCTGCAAAGATATGTAAACGTCCTGACTTGGCTGTTTTGAGTGTGTTGTTGGAAGCTTATCACCGTAGCCTGTAGTGTCGCCTTTTTTGGCGGAAGACCTTAGATAACAATGAACTCAACCAGGTTATGGCGTCCAGTGGTTTTAATGAAAACAAGAGTTTGGGTGGGTGGGATGCTCAGTCTCTCGGGCTCATAAAACCTGGTCGTCTTTGAATTTATCGCAGAGGAAGATTGGAGAGAGTAGGTAGGTGATTTACTCGAGCAAGCCATACTCAGAACCATGCAAAAGACACTAAACATTTTCATTATATTTCCTAACAGGGCGTTGGCTGGGAAAATATGGCTTTCGTTTTCCTCAATCGTTACCTGGATCTCAGTGAGGTTGGTTATTTAAACCAATTAGTTTACTTCCCGATGAACGTTCTTTGCCATACAGTTTCCTTTTTATACGTGCAGTCTGTTTAACGTTTCGTCGAAAACGGATCCGCCTACTGTCATGATGGGATCAGAACAGCCCCGAAATAATCCCAAGGTTTATTTAGTAGGAGTCGCGGTCAATTTGCGGATGATCTCAGGGTCGGCACCATTTAGGGCGCTGAACATTCTCGGAGACCCAGGGGCAGTCAGTTGGGCCGGAAGAAAAGGCGCGACGGAAACCCGTGCTTGAAAACTTTCATTGCGCCTTTTCTCCCGGCCCGACTGATTTGCCCCTGGGTCTCTCAGGATGGGGGCTGTACGGATGGTACATTATCCTTTCTAATGTATTAGACCTACCGGTGACGGTGGTTCTCCTGGTCCTATTGTTTGACCTGTTTTTGTAGCTATTCTAGTCCTAAATTTGGCTAGGACGTTTTTTTGCACAGTCAAACCTCTTTAATACGGACACCAAAGGGACAGAAACAAGCGTCCGCTTTACAGAGGTGTCCGTATTATAGAGGTGGGGATTATATGATTTTTGGCATTTCTGGGACCAAACGAACTGTCCGTAATAGAGAGGTGTCCGTATTATAAAGGTGTCCGTAAGGAGAGGTTAGACTGTACCAACAGCGCAAGTTTGTTTGTTCATTACATCCTTTTTGTATAGAAGAGCCAATGCTCTTGCGTTGGCTCTCATAAAACTAACGATTGCGTTTGGACAATTGTAAACCAGTTCTGCACACACCCTGATCCAGTTTAAAGGTCTCGTCTAAAAGTAGTTCTTAGTCACCTTACTACCTGCATTTATTGTATTGTACGAAATTATTTTCAGGGTATCGAGGAAGGAAGTCTTGACATGTTGGATAACAGTGACTTTGCAGACACTGATATTCCATTTGAGGTCCCTGTTCCCGATAAACAACACCTTCCGGTGAGTTTCTTTACCGCAACATGGTCAAACGACGTATTTTCCTAGGTGTGTAATGGAGATCACTGGAAGAGGGTGTGATTCCAGCTTTTGAGTCTTTGTATATAGTGTAGGGCTCTGTTGTTCAATGGTTGGATAACGCTATCACCCGTGTAAATCACTATCCGGTGATATCGGTGGTTAGTGATTTATGCCGTTTATAGCGTTTTCTGCCTTTTGAACTCAGTACTAGCGCCAGAAGTGTAACTGTTTTGAGAAGTACCTTCCATATGATACTGATTATTAAAAAGTTGTAAACGACCGAAGTGAAAGCTGATAAGTAGTGCAGAGTATTAACGATACCTCTGTTTCCCCTGCTACTTGTTTTCAGGAGGATAAACGTGAAGAAGTAAAGGAATGGGTTTTGGCTGTATCCATGGATCAAAAGGTTGGTCTTAACTCTTTCCCTCCCAAGAGTGCAAGAAATCATCATCATCATCATCATCATCATCATCATCATCATCATCATCATCATCATTGCTATTTGCGGCATAGGGCGTTTGAGGCCGTTTTTTTAATGGACCGGGTCGTCAGCCTTCTTCCTAGCCATTAACATTGTCTGGTCTCTATCCTTCGACCTGTTCAGCATGGGTGGCCCTACCAGGGACTAGCCTTAGTAGCTCTAGGGGAAAACGCGCAGAGCGCCCACCACGATAAGGTGGTGATCCCATCAAGGCAGTTTAAGAACTGTTTTCTTGAATTCTGGTCAAAAAAATTAGAATTCGTGGCGACGAACTCGTAGTACTGAGTGAAGGTACTAAATAGGTTCTATTGAATGGTCATATACTACTTTCACGCCACTACTCGTGTACCTGGGCCATTGTTGCGTCGAAGGGTGGGCCGGAGTATTTAAAAAAGAAGCGAATCGTCCAAACTCTCAAAGATGGCAAAACGCTTAAACAGAGAATAATTAGAATGTTTAGAGTGCCAAATTGTCGTTTCCAATGTCCAAATGTTTTTGCGTTATCCCTTCATCAGTGGAATACGGTTGGTTTTGCTGAAGCTACGACAGCGTGTTGCTCTAAAACAACAAATTGGCAATTAAAATGACACAAAGGTCTTCGCTAATCCAGACCTTTATAGCTCTTACACTTAACTAAATAACAATTAATTTACTTAAACAGCCTCCTCCCCCCTTTTTTGCCCCCATTCACCAATTTACCCGTCCTGGAGTGACAATTATCTGACCAAAAGGCATGTTCCACTTGTTTTCAGGTGGAGCAAGTGTTACCAACGGATGAACGTGATACATACGAGGCTTGTCTGGTGGCTGCTAACACTGGCATCACCTCCCTACCTTGTGTTATAACTGGTAAGAGGAAGAAACATACTAACGAATAGCTTGGTGACGAAGCCATCTTGGACTACAAGTCTACAAGCAGTGCCTTTCTGGAATGTCCATGAGGGCAAGGAAACCGGGCTAATGAGCAAGCGAGCTAAGATTTTGCTCTTTGAGGGCGAACTGGAAGAAGCAATAGGGAGCTGAAGCAAAGGCGTTTTTGAGCGATGCACGATAACCGGAAGTGATTTGTGGAAGACGTGGGACGATTTGTCCGAAAACTTGGACAAAACCAATGCTGAAGAATGCAAAAAGTCCATTTCCGGTTGACGTGCGTCGCTGAAAAACGTGTTTGTTTAATCTCCCTAATCTTTCCCCAATTTTCGTTTGATCCGGGGCTGCTGAGCTTGTTGTCAATTCAGTCAAGTTTCCAGATGAGGGATTGACCGTAGGGCAATAATGCTTTTACTTACTGAATTCAAATAAAAAAGGAATGAAACTGTATTAACATGACCTAAATTCATTTCAGGATATCCCGTCTTGCGAAGCAAAATTGAGTTCAAGAGGCCGGGCAAAGCTGCGAACAAGGAGGACTGGAACAAGTTTATCATGGCTACCAAGGTTGGATCAACCGTTTTTGGTTTTGGTCATGTTAAGTTAGGAAACCTGTGACTTATGTGGAAAATCTGTGGGCAACAGGATCAAGAGTTTCAAATAGAGAGCCAATGCTACCATAGCATAGATATGTGATGGGCTGGTAGGGACTGTGGTCTTTGTTCAGAGAGCAAAGAACATCGCCTTAAGTTTTGTTGATTTAGGGCCTGTTTACATGGAGGTGGGGAACCTCAGATAGGTGAGGTAACGTGCGGCAGGTCACCTCACCTATCATGTAAACGTGATCAAATAAAAATGAGAGATTATATGGACAGGCGGGTTACCCCACCTAAGCTGGTTACCTCACCTACCTGGGGTCCCCACCTCCATGTAAACAGGCCCTAAGTATGCTATAGCTATGGTCGGAGACCCTAACATAGCTGACTATTACTCTGTGAAAAAAATATTAATGGATTAACAAATTTTTTGCAGAAAAACATTTACCTTGCTTTCTATTTTATTTTCAGGTTTCGCATAGCCCCGAATGCCAAGATGTCCTGCGTTTCCTAGGGAACTGGTGCGGAGCTCCTCAGAACCCCTCTTACTCATTTAACTGAAAATGCGAATCAGCTCATATTTATTACGACGAAAACATGAAGGATTTACTGCTGTCTACAACACTTTGTATTTATTTCCAATTATTTTAGTTGAACTACCGAACAGAGGAAAAAATGAGGAAATTTTTTTGCTAAAATGTTTAAACAGATTGGAGCAATTTATTGTAATCATGCCTAAGGCTACGATTTCTGGTGGCTTTTATGCTGCCTCGTGAAAACTGACTTAAATTAACCTGAACGTTGCGCATTAACAATTCTCATTGTCTTTTTTTTGTGCATTTTTGTTAGCATTCATTCCTTTGATGTCTGATTCCACGCAGTCTGCTAAGTCATGCTAAGATAGAACGATCCTACATCCCCCTTTGGCCACGTCCTAAAAACCGCATGACTTATTCCTGCGTTAGTCTTACAGTCTTATTAGCCAAGAACTTTGTCTTGTAAGCGTTAAATTGTCTTAAAGAGAAGAGTATTTCACAAGGTGAAGGCTTTATTTATGTCGCTGTAAATTCCGCGAACGTAGTTTTGTTGTACAAAGGTTTGTTTCATGTTGAAAAATAATAAATAGATACTTGTGTTCTCATAACATTTTTGGTGCATACGTCCGAGACTGTGCTTCAAGAATAACCCTACCATATACGGACAAGTATCCGAAATTAAACGCTATCTGATATTTCTTTTTGGCTTTCTTTTTCCGTATCTTAATCTTATTTCATAATTAAACAATAACTTGAAGTCCGATTAATTGCTGAAAGTGTTTCATTTTAAGCTTCCTAACCCCCCTCCCCTCCCATTCCACTTATGTCCGTCCCCCCCCCCAGGGGTCTGAATGAGATTTAACCGATAAAGGACAGGTATAAGAACCTAGTTTTATGGTTAGTATTTAAGGGTTTCTATTTTGTGTCTCCTGGGGCTATTTTTAGGGGAAATCTGCTTGCTGCCTGTCCAAATGGGTGTGGTCAAAACTTCCTTGTTGTGTGTGACAAATATAAATTATGTCCTGAAAATAACACCAGCTATAAAGGACAACCTGCTCTGTATCATCTGACTAAGTCATTTTTTTTGTGCACAGTGGGCTGCTCAAAATTGGTCTGCCTCAAAATCCATTTATTTGTTCCTGATTGGTTGTACGATCATACTGTACCATGTAGGTTCTATGCATATTTTTTAAGTAGTGAGCAGTTTGAAAAATTACTTTTTCTTTTCGATTTTCGAAGTACTTTGAAATAACCTGTTTTACCTTTAAGTCTCATAATTCCGTTATGAAATGGGGGATTAAAATGCCAAAATTTCAAGCGACATGGTCAAGTTTCACGAAGCCCAGTATGCTTTAATCCTGGGTGAACTGTAAACAGAGCTTATGAGTTGTTAAGGTAACTACCCCTTTATAAGCGCTAATCGTCCTTTCAACCATTCGGCGAGTGAGTGCTTATGTGAGGGTGCTAGTGTACTATAATACTGAGCGTTATCACCTGTTATGCGCTCTCTGATCATTACTATGTCTTCACAGTCACATTGCTAGGGCATTCAAACAGAAATGAATTAACGAAACATTAGTGAAAACTGTTCGACTATTATCCATATGCATATTGTCTTGTGTGTCTGTAGGATAAACAGGTTAGCTTTAAAAGAACTTCCTTTTATCAACTCAGTTGAAACGGTCGATTCACCATCGCCGTGAAGAGATGCTAAAGCTGACGTTTCGAGCGTTAGCCTTTCGTCAGAGGGAATCTGGGAATTGTAGGTCGTTTCTACATTTAGCAATCGAAAGGCACCATTGCTGGGTGAAAACCATTTGTCGATCTTTGGGATTTAAGGCTTCGTACACAGTTGGTGCTCGGGTACGGTGCTGGAGCACAGTACTCGCTGAGTACTAATATAAACACACCCCTTTTTGAAGTACTCACGCCACAATTTGGGCGGTCACCACCTGATCCCCGTTTGAACACGTTTTCTTTTGTTACCGAGGTAATCCGCTGCCTTATGATCTCTTGACTGCCTTCGGTACCCAAAACGCGCTTCCTGCTTGGGTATCCAAGGTGTGAACACACCGTCATTGTTCCTGGTACCCAGGCACTACCGTTGGACACCAAGTGTGAACGTAGCTTGTACCTTGCCTAGTCCCTAAGCTTCATTATTCCGCGTGGTCGAAGCGTTTCGGGTCACGTGGTCTAAGCGAAAATGATACGTCACCGAAATGAATTGACAGTGAGGGACTGGGAAAACGCCGAACAGGGACTAGGCCTGTACCTAGTTGATAGTCTGGGCTCCAATTATGATATTAACTCCGTACTGGAAACGAAGAGTGCTACTATTGAAAACTACTTCCTTTACCAAGAAACTTAACCCCAGCACTTAAAACCAGGGACGGGGTGGAAGCGTGAGCTGCCTTCTTTATTCCTGAATTTTAAAATGTCCATTCGCGACCCACGAAGTTTCCGGAATTTGAAGTTTGTCGTGGGGGTAATTCTCAAAGTTCCCGTCTGCAAAAATGATTGCCTGTCTTTGGCGAAAAGTTAAGGGTTGACTACACCGGCTTCTTTATGACTTAGACCGTCACGCATAGAATTTGTTTCAGTTTTGTGTTAAAGAAGCTTCCAAACGACAATTTCTAAAACCAAGTTAAAGGAGTGTGATCCGTGCAATTAACTGACAAAATCGTTTCAATAATTGTACAGACTTAACTTAATACGTAACCATAGAGACATATCCCAGCTTCCGCTATAGGGGTGTGAATATTACAGACGTAGGAGTGTATGACGTTTGGTCAGTATCTTTGGACCAAAAGAATCGAACTACCCGTATTCGAGAGATTTCCGGTGAAGAGAAGTTCAATGTATTATATTTTCTATGTACTCTACATCTCCTCGCAAATCACCAACCTACCCAGCTTCTTATAGTTTCCCACCGTCCCACCTACTTAAAAAATAAGCGTTGTTTAAGTTCAGAAAAAACGCAGTTTCAAAATATCAATTTTTTTTTCTAGCGTGAGAAGACCACTTTTCATCTTTTCTCTACCTTAAAAACAAAGATTCAAAGAAAACTTAGAGCACATTTCTGCAAGGAAAAAATGCCTAAAAAAGTTGCTTCTCTGGCTACCCTAAGGACCACTAAGACCACAGTAGTTTCATTAAAATTGCAAATTTACATTCTCATTATTATTCGATTATTCTTCTTGTTTTCTCACCTTTAGAGAATTCATCTTGATCGACTCTTTGGACTTAAATGCTGATTATTTGCTTTTTTGGAGTAAGAAATGCTGTTAATGGTTGTCAGGAGCCGCGTAAACCGTGGACATGTTCATAGAAGTTTAACAGAGTGGTTTGGGACCATACACGGGGAAAACGGCTGACGGATCAGTGCAATGGAAAACTCGGTGCAAACACGTGCGCAAATGTTCAACGTCGAAGATTATTTGGTAAGCAAAATTATACGTAAACGTAATTTAAGTGGCTATTTAGATCTAAAGTTATTTCATCGCAAAGTTTAATAGCACAGTGAACTTAAGGTGCAGCAAGTCGGCCAAATTACATGTAACTGCCTCTAAAGGCAGCCATCAATATAATGCATAAATTAGTAGCATACATATTTTTGAAAAACCTTAATCAGACTCTTGTTTTCCTATTGAGCCTTCTGTGTTGGCAAATAATTTTTAGAGTATATCATCCTTAATGGAAGGATACTAGGTGAAAGATTAGACTGAGGTTACTTATACGTTGCGATCAGCAAAACATGAGAAGAAAGGAGGGAATCGGCTTTGGGGCTGTTTACATGGGGGGGAGGTGGGGGAGAGATCCTTGATGACGGATCATCCTAGATCCATATGTTTTCTGTTTTCGGTTTACATGCAAAGAGTTGTACTTGTCTCTAGGGCTAGGATCAGTCTCCCTCCATGTAAACAGCTTCTTTCAACCCCCTACAAAACTTTACAGTTATTTATCATTTATTTACTATCGAGGATAAATAGAAGAGTATTGCATGGGTAATTATGATTAAGCAGTGCTGAAATTAATTCATCACACTGGTATCATCAATCTCATAATCTTAGAGAAAACCAACTTGGCTTCTCTTTGTTCACATAAGACCGTTCAAAATTTTCGTTCTTGCCACAGAGAACTAACTATGAACGGCTAGGCGTTAAAATTTTTGCACAGTTAGGGCCTGTTTACATGGAGGCGAGGGACCCCAGGAAGGTGAGTTAACCCGCTTAGGTGGGGTAACCCGCCGGTCCATACGATCTCTTATTTTAATTTAATCAAGACTACATGATAAGTGGGGTGACCGGCCGCATGTACATGTAACCTCACATATCAGGGGTCCCCCACCTCCATGTACCCTGTTATACTTTGTATCCCCTGCACACTATACCCTGTTACACTCTGTATCCCCTGCACCCTATACCCTGTTATACTCTGTATCCCCTGCACCCTATACCCTGTTATACTCTGTATCCCCTGCACCCTATACCCTGTTATACTCTGTATCCCCTGCACCCTATACCCTGTTATACTCTGTATCCCCTGCACCCTATACCCTGTTATACTCTGTATCCCCTGCACCCTATACCCTGTTATACTCTGTATCCCCTGCACCCTATACCCTGTTATACTCTGTATCCCCTGCACCCTATACCCTGTTATACTCTGTATCCCCTGCACCCTATACCCTGTTATACTCTGTATCCCCTGCACCCTATACCCTGTTACATTCTGTATCCCCTGCACCCTATACTCTGTTACATTCTGTATCCCCTGCACCCTATACCCTGTTATACTCTGTATCCCCTGCACCCTATACCCTGTTACACTCTGTATCCCCTGCACCCTATACCCTGTTACACTCTGTATCCCCTGCACCCTATACCCTGTTATACTCTGTATCCCCTGCACCCTATACCCTGTTATACTCTGTATCCCCTGCACCCTATACCCTGTTATACTCTGTATCCCCTGCACCCTATACCCTGTTATTCTCTGTATCCGCTGCACCCTATACCCTGTTATACTCTGTATCCCCTGCACCCTATACCCTGTTATACTCTGTATCCCCTGCACCCTATACCCTGTTATTCTCTGTATCCCCCGCACCCTATACCCTGTTACACTCTGTATCCCCTGCACCCTGTACCCTGTTATACTCTGTATCTCCTGCACCCTATACCCTGTTATACTCTGTATCCCCTGCACCCTATACCCTGTTATTCTCTGTATCCGCTGCACCCTATACCCTGTTATACTCTGTATCCCCTGCACCCTATACCCTGTTATACTCTGTATCACCTTCACCCTATACCCTGTTATTCTCTGTATCCCCCGTACCCTATACCCTGTTACATTCTGTATCCCCTGCACCCTATACCCTGTTATACTCTGTATCCCCTGCACCCTATACCCTGTTGTACTCTGTATCCCCTGCACCCTATACCCTGTTACACTCTGTATCCGCTGCACCCTATACCCTGTTACACTCTGTATCCCCTGCACCCTATACCCTGTTATACTCTGTATCCCCTGCACCCTATACCCTGTTACATTCTGTATCCCCTGCACCCTATACCCTGTTACATTCT